GTATCCAGACCACTGCTAATCGAAAAATTAGAAAGACAAGGAATTCGTGGAAATATCCTCTGTTGGTTTAAGTCCTATCTATTCAATAGAAAGCAGAGGGTTCGAGTGAGTGAGAGTATAGCAGTCAACTAGAAAACGTTTCATGTGGTTTGCCCCAGGGAAGTGTTCTTAGTCCAACACTTTTTTTAGTATACATTAACGATTTATGTTCACTCGCACTTACTAATGCTAAACTCTTTTCATTCGCTGATGACACAGCTATAGTCTTCTACTCACTCTTGGGAACAACTCACACGGTTAGCTCATTTAGGTCTTCGCCAAATCTCTCAATGGCTTTTAGATAATCTCCTATCCTAATACGTCTAAGACCAAATACATATGTTTTCACATATCGAAATCCAGCAAACCAAACCCTGTTCCGCCTATTAAATTACACTCATGTTTGAACCTTCACAGCAACTGCAACTGTCCTCTCCTGGAACCCACTAAAACAACCAAATACCTGGGATTAATTATTGACTCAAGGCTTTGTTGGGGCCCTCAAATTAACTACCTATGTTCTCGAGTTCGCAAACTTATAAATGTTTTCAAACGCCTTAGAAAGCCTGCTGACCCACATACAATCAAGATAGTGTATACTGCATTATGCCAGTCGATATTATCTTACTGCATATCGGTTTGGGGTGGAGCGGCATTGTCTTCAATGCTGAAAATTGAGCGCACCCAACGTGCCATTCTTAAGATTTCATATAAGAAACCTTTCCGCTACTCAACTTCAAAATTGTACAATGAAACAAAACTTTTAACTGTGAGACAATTATATTTAATAGCAATCTGCAGACTTTTTTGGAAACAAACACCTACCGCACCGCATCAAACAAAACGCAAACCTATATATAAGCAACCCAAAACTCGCACTTTCTTCGCCCAACGCTTTTCTCCTTCCGAGGCCCTTTCATCTTTAACCACTTCATTAAAAACAAAATTATCACGAACATTTCAAAAATCACATTACATACATTTACTAAACATCTCAAACGATATCTTGTTAACCTGTCCTATTCTGATACTGAAAATATTCTTATTGTGCAAAAATAGTTTTAATATAAATGTGTAGAAATAATTAATATAATTTTTAAAATACTGTTTACGTGTCATAAGGAAGAGACTGGCTGCCCACAACACAGGGAATCCTAGTGTGGGGGCCAGTGCACTTTACTTTATCTAAATATCTTGTATATTGTGCATAATAAAGTTTTTTCTTTCTTTCTTTCTTTCTATTAAATTATTATATATTTACCATGAACTGGAGCTCCCTCCCTACGGCCCAAGCCGAGGTCTGAGTCTCACCGAAGGACGTCCCTTGTGCTAGTTGTGGGAAAAGCCCCTTTCCGGCAGAGCTACCCTCGCCAAAACAGCCCGAGCTGAGCTGTAACGGCCAACAACAATCCATTTAAAAAAAAAAACCCGAAACTAAGTGACAGCGATGCCAACGTTTTTGTATGCTACAAGTTCTATGGGCTATCATACAAATTTTCCTTAGAATAATTACAATGACAACTCTATCTCTTGAAGACTCCAACGTGGCTACTAAAAGCAACGCATACATCACTCTCGCTACAATACTTTTACGCGATTCTACTATATGACATAATGTTGTATAATATTTTCGTGAGACGATTAATATTGAGACACTAACACGACGACCAAAGTTAGATGGATGACGTTTCTTTATATTATTTCATTTAGTTGTTGACCACATCACATCACACTGGACCTAAACAGTAGATCTATAGTTTATTAAGAATAATTTAACCGATAATTATTTAAGGTAGTGGTAATGCGTTTTTTTAATAATTTAAAATATAGGTCAGATGTAATTATTTCCAAAGACGGATGATGTTTTTCCTCCAGTATGAGTAAATGCGAATATCAGGGCACCTCAATATATAAATTTCAATTAAATCAAGAACTTTTACATATGTCTAAGAAATCCAGTAGTTGTTGTAGTTGTTGTTTGAAGTTCCATAATACCCTTTTTTAATTGATTATCTCTAATATAAAAATATTCAAATATAACTTAAATATTTAATTACTTTTAATGAAACTAGCATCTGAAAACATAAATTATTGAAGGGGGATTTTGATCTCTTATGTAGATCTCTTACGTCACAGGGTTATCTTTCTTGGCCTGACCCAACAACTTATTAGCAGATCCTCTTTAGAGATACTAGCGTTTTATTAAACTAATAAATTAGTCTGAATACACTTAAGACAACAAGAACAAGTAACAAGACCAATCAATAAACATATTAATAAAAAAAAATTCTAACAGTTGGAGTGGAGTTAATTTTTTATTTTATTGTATACCTCCAGATATACATTATACATCAAGGTTTTTTTTATATATTAACAGTTATAACTATGATTTTTATTCCCAAGTCTTTTTTTATGGTTCACTAGGATAGTGGTTTCTCTTGTCATACTACGTAAAAGAAGGATACCAGGGAGAGAAATATTTAAAAAATTTAGTCATTGAAATGGTTATATATACAGTGAATTTTGAATTTATCGAATTCGTAGACGTTTTAAAAGTGAATACTGCACCTACAGTAATGATAGCATTCTTGTTGGTGTTGTCTAAGTACAATTTTAGAACTTTACCCTTATTTTGGACCACCTAATGTAATATATTTTTAGTATAATTGATTTTGTTATATACAATTTATGTTAGCTGTAGGACTACGAAATAAATAAGTTCAATATGACTAATGCCCCGAGTCACTTGCAGTAGTATAATAATTGTTCTCTTTATAAGCTTGTCGTAAGTTGTATTGGTACAAATTAAAATGCAAGCAAACAAGCAAATTATCATCGAGCAATGTGGCACCTCCACATTGCTCGATGATGATTCATAATTCCAGATTCATTTCATAATCATATCTACTCCAATCATCGTGCATCATCAGCGGTGGCGCGATCGTGGACTGAGAGAATGATTTTACGTTTTCTGTTATCTTGAATTCAGAAATTTTATTGTATACAGGTGTCGCATAAATCAATCGGTCCAAGTCGGGTATTTTTTTTTGTGTAAATGTAAAATACTTTGAAATTCTGACTAAATGCGCCATCTTTTTCTTCACTTGCCAACTGCGCACATATTCTTACAAGGTTGTATAGTTGGAAAAAATCATAGAAATAGAAATCATAGTTTATTTATGGTGCATCTACCTAATTATTTTCCAGAGAACTAAAAATGTTCTATTAAACGTGAAACAGAAGCATATTAATACATATTTCAATGTTTGTTATAAGTCTGTAGTATTGTTTAATTGTCGTCTAGTGATATGTATATTTATGATTTAGATAAATTTGTGAGTGCCATTTTGAACACGGCATGGTCGAGTGCTATGCCGGAATTCAAATATTCGTTTATAAATTGAAACTGTCGGTGTTGGACCAGCCGAAACGGTTTTAATGAGTAAACAAACTGTATGAAATATTTACAATAATAAATTGTTATTAATATATTGTTAGACTTGTCTTAAGCGTAATTAAATCTTCATTGCTTAGCTAAAAAAGTATTATGTTACCTTTCATTATTTTGTTTTTTGAGACTGGTTGGCATTTACTATGGTTGCAATACACAAGTACCTACTATTCTTTCAGGACTCGCGTATGCTATTGGCATTTGAGTTCGATATATGGAAGTAACTTTTAACTAAAAATTAAAAAAAAAATACATAAATGTTATTTCGTTTTCGTAAACTAACACAATTATTTACCCATTACACTACAGTATATATACAGACTCAAAGAACTAAAACTAAAAAAAATACAGAACTCGATTTAACACGATATTTACAGCGACTCAAAATACACCAAAAAAGTATAATGAAATATAAACAATAAAAAAAACTTTGATTCGCACAATAGTGCGTTTTTGTGCCATGTCTTACCTACGAGCTCCCAGTACCGGTTGCCCGACTTGGACGTTTGATTTAAAAACAAAATAATAAGTCAGACAACAGACAGCCCTGCGATTACGCGAATACCAGATGTGGATGGTCATAAACCCTCTTTGTTGGACCTCTCTGCTGACGGCAAACTTCCAAGTTGACTCAATTGGGTTCATTGGATCATTGCGTTGTCCGGAGCATTGTGCCGTTCACGCGTATGGGCTCGCTTCGCGGGCTGTCGCCGCGTGTGGCGCTACAAGTCAGCAGATTGGGATCGGATACGGTCTTAAAGTCAAGTCCTAGCCTTAGTTAAAACGTTCTTGCAAGGCGGCCTTGCGTCGTAACCGAGAATGCTTATAAAGACTGGACAGAAGCGGCAACATCCTGTGATGCGTCTATCGGCGAAAAAAGCATATATATAACTCAACCGCCAGGTCCATTGAACGGGTAATCGAGTGAATTTCAGTCAGCCCTCCAATTGAAGTATAACTCACTGGCCGCGAAGGAGAAGGCTGATCTTGGCGTCTCTGCGTCGAACTCCACTTTGGATGACCAAGGGAAGGCGCCACCGACATTATTGCGGTGTGCTTCCACGATGCCTAAATATAATTTCAGGCAACGTCATTTCACACCGCTCTCTGCAAAGCATTATCTTCCTTGGACATCCGTGACGTTTGCCGATAGTCGGATTTCATTGGATTGTGAAGACGACGCTTGGTCTCGTTGCTGACGGTATGACCCTCTTAATTGTTCGACAGGTCTTTTATAGAAATCGTAAATGGCTCAATGGCTTTTCGAGTTTATACAAAAGGACCAGAATTGATCAGGGAAAAATTTAAGCTCGTGTTCACACTTGAAATCGGCCAGGCACTGCATTGGCGCCTATTCATTACATTTGCGTTAGATCCGTTAAAATTTTAAACATACTGTACGTAATTATACTAAATACAAGTGTATTATCAACTTGTATATAAGATAACGAATCTGAAACTATTAACAAATGTACCATTCGTTTCAGCATTAAGGTGGAAGAGGTTTAGAATGGCACCAGAAAAAAAGGGCCATACTTACATACAATGGATGTATTCGATTATTGGTAAGTTTGAGTCATGTTATTATACTCCATTAGTAATATACATAGTAAACAGATTTTCGTTACTGACGATCATTTTGCCGTTGCAACATTTAATTCCCCTCTGCACAATTATAGTTAATAGAATTATTATAATTATTTACCTAATAAATTTGAGCAGTATTACACTAGTGGCTTCAGCATGCGACTCTGATCCCTGAGGAATTAGGCCCTTTCTCCACTGCTCCGGTCCGACGTCGGATACCGGAATGAGTCATTAGAAAAATATCGGAAGGCCGGATTGCGCTTCTCCACTATATCCGATCCGACAATAATCGATACTTGTATATTTATCATGCTAATGTAACTAAATCCCATATACTTTATTTTATTAATAAAACGTTCTAAATTCTGAATATTTTATTGCCCTGACAAGTTTATTACTTTTTTTAAATTGTCTATCTTAAAATATTATAATCTACTTCTTTTTCTAATTCTTTCAAATTAAAAAAACTATAAATAAACCTGTGAATAATAATTTATAACCTCTTGGATACTTGGACCGATAAAACACCGCGTTCCGATCTAGCAAGTTATCGGATAGTTAAAAACCGGATGCCGGAGTAGTGGAGAAGTACGTATGTACTGTTGTGAGTTTCTAAATCGGATCGGTAATTAACGTTTGCCGGACCGGAGCAGTGGAGAAACGGCCTTAGGTTCGATCTCCGGCTGTGCACCAATGGACATTCTATGTGCGCATTTAACATTCGCTCGAACGGTGAAGGAAAACATCGTGACGAAACCGACTTGCCTTAAACTAAAAAAGAAGGCGACGGTGTCTGTCAGGTAAAATAGGATGATCACCTACTTGCCTAGATTGAAAAATGATCATGAAACAGATACAGAAATCTGAGACCCAGATCTCAAAATGTTGTAACTGATTTATTTAATTAATTTATTCTGTTTTTTATTTAAACTAAATCAATCTTATCTCTTGAATTAGACCATCGAATTAAGAATAATTAGTTACAGTGAGAACACTGTAAAAACAGGGAAATTTAACTTATTTTTATAAAAGGGTTGTTCTTCGTCTTGAGATATTCGTATCAATTTTAATAATTTGACTTATTATAATACTGAAAATTTGGCATGGTTATTCTAATTACTGTTTGTTCACCTTTATTTGAGATAATGACTTAATAAAATTTTTGTTTTAATGAATAGTTACACAACATGTAAATATGCGTTACCTAAAGCTTAAACAATTTTATAATAAAAATAATTCCATAGTAAGCATCGGTTTCCTCATATATGGATTGGAGATTGGATGGACGTCTCCAATGCAGAAAGTTTTACAAGCGGACACCTCTCCTCTGGGTCGTCCCATCTCCACGACGATGATATCCTGGATTGCCAGTATCGTTGTATTTAGTTCTGCTGGTGCAGTACCAATCTACTCATACATGGCTAATGTTTATGGGAGGAAGTGGATGGTTGTTGCAACCACGATACCTCAGATGGTGAGTTCCTGTTAAACCGTTACAAATACCGTACCGTTCCCGTTTTTGTATTCACACTCAGTACTTTGAATGCATGCCCTTTGATGAATGTTATTGATGATATAGTGAAACGCATTGAGTAACCCCTGTTAGTTAAATCTTAAGTTTAGGTAAGGTAAGGTAAAAATTAATTGACTCGAAAAGTGAATCTTTTTATTTCGAAAACGTTAACACTTTACATTTTATATAGAATATAGCTAAAAATAACTGAGCCCCGAAGACCATACACAAGTATATTGATAGAGTAATCGATTAACCGAATAATTAATGTCATTATCGTTAATGTATGAAAAAAGCGGTCTTTTTCATATTAAAAAAGAAGGCAAGAAAAGAGATTGCGCGGTGACGCGACCGCGGAGTACAATAACAACTGGGAATTCAGGTTGGAACATGACAGTTTTTTTAAATATAGGGCAGCAAACGAGCCCAGGAGACAGCCATAAAAGGCAGTCACGCAGCCCATGAACCGGGCCGGCCTTTGAGAGAGAAGTAAGCTCTCTTTTCATATAATGGGAGGTCGTATTATTCTCTGTATACTACACTATAACTAAGATCCAAATAACTGAGGGACGGACAATCCAATTTCCATTGTATTATATTATGGTAGTGTTCGCGGAGAGTATTTAGAGGAGTTTTTCGGATTAATACCAGCAGCTGAGTTTAATTTATCAACTTTTTATCGCACCTTTAACCGTTAATAACAAATTAAACGTGAAACTTTATCAATTTAAGTAAATAACGTTAAATACAATGTTAAATAGCTGTTTTATTTGAAATGAAATATTACAATGTTATCGTTTTGATATGTCTGTTTAGGTTTACTTTTATTTAATTAATAGTTAACTTGAATTATTATATATTATGATAGGAAAAACACAAATCAGAGGCGGTACACTTCCATTAGTGGAAGCAGTAATTCCGTTATTCAATTGAATTGTGAAAGAATTGTGTAGCACAAACACGTTTATGTCTTAGCTTCTGTGCCTTAGTATATCATCAAATTTAAAATGTTAAAGAAAAACATATTTTTTTTTAATTAGAACAGCCCATCAACAAAATAAATTAGTTATATTATAGACTTAACAAGCTAAGGGTATTAAGGTGTTAAGCTAAGATCTGGATTTATTTATTAAATATTGTTCTGTGCTGAGATATTGAAATATTTGTCATTCTAATACAATCAAACTTTTTAATTGTAGATATCGAGCAGTATAAAAATATTATTTCCAAACATCACAGCGCTATGCATAGCCCGAACATTAACCGGTTTTTTCAGTGGGGGCGTATTCGTAGTTGGGCCAATGTATGTGAGAGAAATCAGCCAGTCAGACATGATAGGATCCTTAGGATCCATCCAGGTGCTACTGCAGAATATGGGCTTCCTGATAATATACTTAGTTGGTGCGTACATGGAGTATTTTCAAGTATTGTACGTAATGGCTGCGTTTCCAGTATTGATGGCTTTGCTGATGTTAAGAGCTCCCGAATCTCCGGCTTTTTTGGTCAAGTTGGGGAAGATTGAGGTTGGTTTTATATAAGACTACATTAATTTGGGTCGCTTATGAAATTTCACGATGACATTGATAGAATATTGATTGATTCGTTTCGATTTTCGTTTCAGGAAGCACATAAAGCTGTTGCGTATCTTCGAGGTTTGGATACGGATGATAAAATTGTGATAACAGAAGTGGAAGCTATGCAGCGTCAGGAAAAAGAGTTTCAGGCAATGCCTAAGCTCGATTTTATTAGTATTCGTAAGTCATTTTACGAATTAAAAGCAGTATATTATATTATTATTACTATGTAGGTTAAGAATATTGTAAGTAAATATATTTTCACATGTTTATAGATATGTAATATTTAAACAGTATGCGTATTACCTTATATAACGCCTTCAATTATTGAAAATAACTCTTTTTTTCAGTGAAAGATAAAGCTTGGAGACGTGGTCTTATAATTATCCTCATCATCTTCACGTTCCACGCTTGGAACGGTGCTTTCGCGATCATTGCATACGCGTCTGCCATCTTGTCTTCGACGGGGGTAGATTTTGGTATAAGTCCAGAATTGCAAACGCTAAGTTTTCCTATAGTTAGTATTATGGCATCATTTACTTTGACTGCGGTTGCTGAGAAGTTTGGAAGAAAGGTAAGTTTTTAACTCTGGTTATTTCTCTTGTTCGTTCAGGTTTTTGCTACCGATTTATAAAACATGTTTAATATAAAGATATAGTCAAAGGAAAGCGGTTTTTTCCGTCAGAGGTGTGGTGACTCATCATTAAGCTCATGTATATCATCGAAAGATCATAAACAGAACAGCTTTTCAAACCAAAACATATTTGGTTGTGAAACAAGATGGTTTAAGGAAGGTTTACCAACGGGCATTACAATGACAGCTTACATCTAAAAAAACACTAAAATAACTACTTGTACACCCTTTAACAGGCAAACATATAATAATAATAATATATAATAATAAAGCCTTAATTTAAACATCAAATGTTGGTAGTAGTATTTAGTATTTACTTATTTAGTATAAAATGTATACTTGATATGGACCCCTCTATTTATCTGGCGTTCGTAAGTTCAAAACCCGGCTGTGTTTAAGAATTGTTTTTTATGTGACCTTTTACCATTTAAGATAAGAGGTGCTCCTCAACTACAAAATTCAAGATGTGTCAGGCACTGCTGGTTAATAAATCAGTGGTGTTACAACCTTTTTACGGCCTCAGATTTCTGAATCTGTTTTATGATCATTTGTCAATCTATTACGCAAGAAAGGTTGCCTTAGGGCAAGCCGGTTTCCTGACGATGTTTTCCTTCACTGTTCGAATGAATATTAAACTGGTCCACTATGCCGGGGTAGGCCGCTAAGACCCGGGCGGCCAAGACAGACCATTGGTGTAGACGCCAGCGGCTTGCCGGGTTAGAATGCCGGCCGACCGTTACGACCTCAGTCACTGTCAATAGACCAACAGCCCTGTTGTGTTGAACATGTTTAAATCCGACCGAATTTTACGAATTATTTTATTTACTTTCTAGCCGTTTAACTAGCGCGAACACTTCTAAAAAATCAAAAAGTCCTTTTACTCAATCACCATTCTTGGTATCGCAACTAGTAATGTATGCAGAAATAACTGGGTAGGTTTCATACCAGGCTGGACGTCGTGCCAGTTGTCGTGCCATGATTGTATCTGTGGCGGGGGGCGGCCTATCCGCGGCATGGTGTACGCTCCTTTAACCTTATATAATATTGACGGAAATGTCCATTGGTTCACAGACGGAGGTCGAACTTGACACTCAATCAATTATAGACCATACTTTGTTGAACATGTTTAATCAAATTTTAAGTCATTATAATTTAAATATATTTACTACTAGCCCTTACTAGCGGAACTTTGAGTGTATAATTTTTTTTAGAGAACATGTGTCATACCTAACTGTCTCTTTTAAAACATTGTAACAGAAATTCGGGTGGGGTAAGACCTTACCTTATTTCAATATAACAAATTTTGTTTTCAGATAAGTACGCATAAATATTATAGACACTTGAGATCTACATATACTAGTATAACTTACTACGAATAATACCCATCTTGGTTATGGATTTACTGCCTCATATATAATTCCAGGTTCGAACAAGACTCATGGGTTGTGTCGTAACCCATGCGTGGATATCCGGTGCTGTTCAGCTTTTTGCATATGCACCTGTAGCTGATGCCTTCGGTCTACCAGCTACGTTTATTCTGTTTGGGGTATTCAATCTTTTAGGAGCAATTGTAACCTTCTACTTACCCGAGACCAGGGGTAAGACTGATGAAGAGATTCAACAACAATTGACAAATAGTCCCAAAAAGAAGCACGGTTTAGTTTTTAATGTACGGTTTAGTTTGGAATACTAAAATTGAAAATATATTGAATTAACGAAATGTTCAATTTGTTTTAAACTTTGTGACAGAGGAGCGCTATTATATTGCGTAATTGTTAAATAAAGTATTTCTTTATTCACATACTATGGTCAGATATGTTTTTAAATATAAAAACTTATTTTAAATACTGTTTACGTACCTATCTTTTCTGTACTCCTCGCGGTATGTAAATATTATCGTGGTTTAATATGTCATTGGTTTATTCACTTTGAACTATTTTTTGTGAGCTACCTTCTTGTACCTAATAATAGATATTTTAACAATCTTATTTCAGTAATGTGTTTGAATATCGTTTAATATTTATATTAAACCGGTCCTTCAATCAAACCCAGCATTGCGACGTGAGCTGATTAGTTAAAATGCGTAGTAAAATTATAGCAGTAAGGTTGATTTAAGATTTATAAAACTTTAATAATTAAATCGTATGTTTTTTGTTTCTTATTACATAATATGTGGTGCTGCAAATCCCGCAGATAATTTTGGATTTAAGATATGCCAGTTCCTTACGAAGTTTTCCTTCAAGCAAATATGAATAGCGTAGGTTCTATTTAGTATATATGTTCCAGTTATACCAGTAGTTTATTTTTAATCAATTGGCCATTATCAAATTTCATAACCAACTCTATATCTACCCCAAACAAAGAAGGCAACTATCTTTATCTAGCACCTTATAGAATTAATTCCCAAACCACACTTCCTAATCGAAGAGTCAGCGCCTGGGCAACAGATTATAAAAAACGCGAAGGAAGGTTTGCTTAGGAATTCTACATCAACATTATAACCGATGGTATAATTACCTCATTTGAAAGAGGCAGTATTGTCAATTTGCAATATTCAAGAAATCCCGCGTATCTCGAATTAATGATGATATCCAGGCAATGGATTTTAAGAACCGAATCAAGGGGAGACCACTTCCAAACTTATACTACCAATAAATTTTGACTCTTAGAAAAATCTTAAATTATTCGCATTGTGTATTTAGACTAACCCGGTAGTTATAAAATACTTAGCCAACAAACAAAGCAGGTGTGAGTACGAACAATGCACATCGTTTTTTAATCTTTCTTTTTTAAACCTGTGATCACTTGTTATAAAACGATTTTACATTATAGGAGTGTCTTAGTATGGATTCGAATTTTAAATCCAATTATATTCAACTAGTCACACGCGTGTAAATTCAAAGAGAGCCTAAGCCATATTTTATTCTTTAAGTTAAGATCGATTATCAAAATACTACTAACCTGAATTGTTACTTAGAAATGAAATACCATATATATGTCATTCTTCTTCTATTCTACACAATAAACGCAGAAGATTATAAAGAGGAAGAGTACGATGGAGATACAAGTTCGTCAGTTGATTCTGAGAGTAATGAAGTTTTTAACAAGAGTTTATCGCAAAAACCAAAACGGGATTTTAAAGAAATGAATGAAACAAAACTAAGTAAGTATATATTATTAACTTTGTGTATTAGGTCATTCATTAAAGCCTTAATCTGTCGTAACTGAGTATATAATATACAGTTAATGTTCCATGAGAGGTGAATTATATGTGGACTGTAGTTACGGCTAAATAATTTTGGCAATAACCAATCTTCTTGAAGTGTTATAACTGTTATAATAGACAATTCTAGACGATATTTGCCCCACTTTGTCGATGGTAATCTAGTAAGTGTTAATTGCGAACAAAAAGAAATTAATGTCTCTTAAACAACCAGAATTTTACGCACGAGGTGAAGATGGCAATATAAATAAATTTAAAACTATTCGGTGTATATTAGTTACTTTTATTTTTCTAGATGAAAAACCTATCAAACTAGAAAATAAAAATGATATGAAAAAATCAAGCTATCCATATGCTGTGTCGATACAAAGGAGGAACTCGCATTTTGCGTCTGGAGCTCTTATTGACTCCAAATGGATTTTATCTGCAGCTGGGGAGTTTTATAAGTAAGATAAAGAACATATATTCCCTCTGAAACTTGGTTTTATAAAAGGATGATAATTATTTAACCCAAGACTTGTTGATTATATATAAAAAAATATATTCCTTTATATAACATACTTCACCAAGAAATCATAAAAAACTCAAGAATATTTATTCATATAATTAGGTTAACACTTACTTAAACTAAAACGAAGATTTATTATCTATTGTTACGGTAGAAAAACTGTTTTTCATGGCTATTATAATCTACATAGAATAACCGATGTCTACCCGGCTTAAAGTTTTTTAAATTTGTTTAAATACGCATTTATTGTATGGTCATCGTAACAAATATATTTCAGTATCAGAGAAGCAATCAAACAACTCAGGGTCCGTCTCGGCACTTTTAACTACAAGAAGGGTGGTGTTCTAATGGCTTTGAAGGGCATCGAGATCCACCCCCTTTACTCCTATCAGCAACCAAACTATGACCTAGCCTTACTAAAGCTGGCTCAGCCAGTGACTTATAGTGCTCAAATCAAGCCAATACCTATATCGACGGAGGCAGGAGAAGTTGTTAGTGGAAAGTTCATCGCCACTTATTGGCCAAGGCTTATTGTAAGTTCTTAACATAATTCTTCTTTTCCTGAAGCCTTTTTCTATGAGAAAAAGAAAATTGAGAGAAATAGATTGAGGTAAAACAAACAGTAAAAAATCTATGCAAACTGACGATTAGGCCAACACTCGTGATTGTAAACATTGTGAACAAACCTATGTTTAATGTTTATCGAGCTTATTCTATTACTAAATACAGCCAATATATAATAGGTCATGGCTTTAAAAATCATCATCAGCTAAAGAGATGAAATATAATAGCATGCGTGTGCCAACGCAAAAGTTGATCCGGGCCATTATTCTGAAACATATGATACTTTGAACAAAAAACTGGACCAATTACGCTGTCGCTTCAAACCCACTAGTCAGCTTGATTAGTCCCTGTACCTGTAAGTGATTTCTGATTTATAATTTTGAAAACTTAACTAAATCATGCTTAATGTTTAGCCAGAGCTGGAATATCGTACTATATACAACACGGTCCCCAACATTTTCAGAAAGAAAACTTGTCAAGTTTTATAAAATACATTTAGCTAGTAAGAGTGTGTGAAGTATGATAGCATGCAGGTTATTCCGCTATGGATATTCTGATTACTCCTTTTGGAACAAATGTCTCGTAAGCTTAAAGTTGAAACGAGTGAGACCAAAACAGTCGTTGTACGTCCGATCTGCGCGATATAAAGCTTCAACCGAATTACGTTTAACAGATCCTTACATGTGTAGTTCTTGTCTTAGAAGTTTCAGGTGTATCATGATAGTTAGATTGATAAGAATACTATAGAAATCTTACTAATATAAATGAAATAATGCCCATGTGCGGAATACATAGTATAGCTACAAGAACAGTCCTAACATTTCAACGAAATGCGCCGTTAACAGCGGCTATAAAGATTTTACCTTAGCATTTTTACAACAGTCAATTAACTTGCAAGGGGTATGCTCATGATCGAGATTACTAGACTTCAACCACCTTAAATAACCAAGGGTTCTTTTTCACAGCCGGATGTAGGCGCACCAATAATAGCTGACGACCTTCTCTGGGGAATAACTTCGGGTTGGCTTTCTGACTCATGCGCTAGTGAATCTAGTCCTACACTCTTCACGAGACTTTCCGATGAAAATGTCAAGTTCTGGCTCAACTCAATACGAGATATAGCTATTTAGTATTACCATTGTTTAGTTTAGAATAAGAATTTCGAAGCTACCACGAACATAAATATTTAAAATATTTTGAGTGGTGGCCAACAATTATGCACTTTTAGTAGCAAAGCTCTTAATGAACGTCACTGTATCTCATTACATTTAACAAGTAGTAGTATTAAACCTTCGTAACGGATATCAATTTAACTAATGCCATTGTCCAACACGTTTCTTTGATATTATTTAGGGTCTCAGCTATCTTAATCCAAAATTATTTTGTGAACTTTTTTGATGTTTCTTAGCAAACCATTTCTCAACGGTTGATTTTCATGGTGAAGAGTCCATATAATGATTATCGAGACAAGCCTTGGCGTCAGTAGTATTTTTTTTCTCCATAAGGCATTTTTTTTTAACCTTTAGGTATACTTCAATTGACAAATTGAAACAATGAGTCAGAACTAATTTTTCACGTTATTTTCTATACCTATTTGTTTTGTATTAAGAATATTTATGTAAATAAAATTTCTACTTTTGTAAAAAAAATATTTTCTTTTTAGACTTATATTCCCGTATAGCGGAAGTGTATTGTCCTAAGTATTTAAGTAATTTAATTCAGAAGGTGTGTTGATTTCAAATCCATTTTTCACCATTAACATTACGTTTGTTTATTATGTTCGTCTTCAAATTGTTTACCTGTCAAACACTGAATACTTTTAGGTTTCGTAATCGCTTTATTTAAAAGAAAGTGTGAATTTAATACAAGGCCATCCGTGCCCCATAGTCCGAGACGTAAAATTAACTAAATATTGTACTGAATTTACTGTCCTAACATGACTATTACACCACTAGTTTATTTATTTATTTAGTTATAAGTGCTTAAATTATATGAATGCTAAAAAATACAAGACGATATGACCTTACAATTTGTTATATATGATACCACCGCTCATGGGCACTCTTAATGTCAGAAGCTAGCGAGTGCGTTGCCGGTCTTTTAAAGTTTGGTACGCTCGTTTCTCTCTTCAGTCAGAAAGGAAACATCTGGATCGGACAATCTGTTTCCAACGGTTTCTGTCCAGCGCCTCTCGTGTGTGTATAGATTTGAAAACGGAGAGTTTTTCACTCGATCGGTCCACCTGGCTGGTGAACTGGTGGTAATTCGCCGGTGGCTTATAATAGACTGGCCAGTCCGTATGCGGAGTTATCTCAGGATCGATGTATTAGTCCTCACACCTTTGTGGGAGATTGGTACCTCTAATAGGACTCTAGAAAGCATGATGGTTGTGGGTGTTTGTGTGAATATTTAATTTAAATTCTACCTCAAATGATATTAGTTTTCTTTCCTTTAATTTATGTTGGTTGTATCATCTCTAATAAGAAAACAGACTGTGAAATATAAATTTATTTCTTACTTGGAATTAACCATGAAACGTTTTAACACAAATTAAAATTTGTACGAGATATAACGTTTCTCGTATAACATTAGTAGGTCTTATCTGTTTTGAAATGACTATTTTTACTTCTGGTTTTGTTTATAACATTTACTAATAGAAGTACAAAAATTTAATTTTATCGTACCCTCAGTAATACAGTCATAATTCGAAAAAGAAGAATTTTGAAAATTAATTTAAAGTTTAAAAAAAATCTGACAATTGATTTAAAAAAAATCAAGTTGGGCCGATACAAAAACTATGACGTATACAGAATCAGCCAGAAATAATTCCTTGTAACGGCTGCAGTTTTTGGCAATTTAGGGATTTATTAAATACCCACAAATTAATTCTTCAGAATTCTAAAAGGTTGTAATGAAACTAATCTGTTTTTTGAATTAGAATGGTACAAACCCGAAACATTTGAACATTCTGACTTTTATAAAAAAAATTTTTTACACTTTACTAATAAGTTACTTGGAGCATTAAGATCGCGGGTAGATCGGGTATGCCTGGCAGGGGAAAGGAAGGAAAGGTGTAAATATGTTAACGGAGTTATTATTGTCCTTTTTCTTTCTCTCTTAGCACTCATTGTCCAGCAATTTTAGAGCAGAATTTCACTCTATGTCCTAATCATTTAAAATCTCGCTTTACCAAACAACAAAAGTGAAAGTATACTAAGTTTTTTGGAAAGCCGAGCGAAACATTCCAACTTCTAAAACCACTTCGAATATATTCAGGATGTTTGAGACAATCGCACTCGAAGCTAATAAGGTACAAGGTGATGTTTTGTGACTGTGTAGGACAGGGCACACATTTATATGTTCAGGGTATTGATTTACAAGTATTACAAATAAAATCAGTACTTCCTTGCACTTTTACTTTGGCGTCGGGACGTGACGACCCCATCGCCCACTGGTGAAATAACCTGTGACAGAGGTTATTTCATCAGCGCAATCAGTCAACCCCTTCCTAGTGGGAGTGCCATGCTGTTGCCTTCGGGTTTCAGCCAAATGGGCAGGCACGACCGGGGCAGTACCACTGCCTCTCAGAAAACCGGCGTGAAGTGATGCAATAAGTTCGCCTTATTGTAGTCGCGTTTCGTGCAGTGAGAGAGACTCCCGGAGCCCATCCCCCCTCTACTTGTAGAGTTTCTTGAAATATGAAGGTGCAGAAAAAACAGAATCTACCCCAGGGGGGTACCACACGCGCTCTACCATTTAGAGACTGCGAAGCCGGCCTTGCTCTTTCTTACCGAGACTCAGATATCCCCCCCGGCTGATACTTCCTACCTCTCCTACCCGGGGTACAAATTGGAACATTCATTTGTGCCGCGGGCGGGAGTTTGCGTGTACGTCAGAGAGGATATTTGTTCTCGTCGCCTCGGGACGCTTGAAGGAAGGGACCTATCTAACCTCTGGCTGCGCGTAGACTGCGATGACCATCCGCGATTCTACGCATGCCTGTATAGGTCCCATAGCGGAAATACCGAAACTTACCGACTCATTGAGCACATCCAAATGGCTACAGATTCCCTGCTCGAAAGGGTTCCTACCGCTGAAATCGTGATACTTGGCGATTTTAACGCCCACCATGCCGATTGGCTCGGCTCAGATACCACCGATCATGCGGGAAGATCCTTTCACGACTTTGCTCTGGCTTACGACTTGACGCAAATGGTCCCTGCGATTACGCGAATACCAGATGTGGATGGTCATAAACTTTCTTTGTTGGACCTTCTGCTGACTTCACATCCGGAGAACTACCAAATCTCTGTTGAACCGCCATTGGGCTCATCAGATCATTGTGTGGTCCGGAGCATTGTGCCGTTCACGCGCCCTCTTCGGCCTAGCTTCACGGGCTGTCGGCGCGTGTGGCACTATAAGTCAGCAGATTGGGATGGGATGCGGTCTTTTTTTGCGTCCTACCCTTGGGCCCATTTGCTTTTCGTCGAGTACTCCAGATGCCATCGCTGACTCTGTCGCCGAGGTGGTCCTGCAGGGTATGGAACTTTTTATTCCATTCTCTGCGGTGCCGGTTGGTGGCAAGTCCCAGCCTTGGTTTAGGCGTTCTTGCAAAGCGGCTTTGCGCCGTAAGCGTGAATGCTTTAAAGCCTGGGCAGAAGCGGTGACATCCTGTGATGTGACTATCGGCGAACGTAAAAAAGCATACAATTCAGCCTCCAGGTCCTTCAAGCGAGAAATCGCTAAAGCAAAGTCCAGAGCACATTGCCAGATTTGGTGAGAAATTGGCCCACCTCCTTTCCACCACTGCATAGGGAGGATGACTCACTGGCCCATACCGCGAAAGAGAAGGCCGATCTTCTAGGCTGTCTCTTTGCGTCGAACTCCACTTTGGACCATCAAGGGAAGGAACCACCGACATTATTCCGGTGTGATACTACGATGCCCGAAGTTATATATCCCGGCAACGTGCTATCCGTAAAGCTTTGTCTTCCTTGGACATCCATAAGTCGAGCGGGCCTGATGGCATCCCCCCAATTGTGCTGCGTACTTGTGCTCCTGAGTTGGCTCCGGTCCTAACGCGCCTTTTCCGGTACCTTTACACCCTCGGCACTGTTCCGAAGTGCTGGAAGATCGCTTCGATACATCCGATCCCTAAAAAAGGCGATCGCTCTGATCCGTCCAACTATCGCCCAATAGCTATAACCTCCTTGTTCTCCAAAATAATGGAAACCATTATTAACAGCCAGCTCTTGAGGTATCTAGAGGGCCACCAGCTAATTAGCGATTCTCAGTACGGCTTTCGTCGTGGTCGCTCGGCTGACCTCCTTGTATACCTTACACACAGGTGGGCAGAGGCAATTGAGTCCAAGGGGGGAGGCGCTGGCGGTAAGTTTGGACATAGCGAAAGCCTTCGATCGGGTGTGGCACAGAGCACTGCTCTCAAAGCTTCCAGCCTATGGGCTCCCTGAGAAATTATGCAACTGGATTTCCAGCTTTCTCGCTGATCGGAGCATCAAAGTCGTCATCGACGGAGCATGCTCCGACCTGAAACCTGTGAATGCTGGTGTCCCACAAGGCTGTGTCCTATCCCCGACCCTGTTTATTCTGCATATCAATGATATGTTGCAGCTTAGCAACATTCATTGCTATGCGGACGACAGCACTGGGGATACTTTTTACACTGGCCGGGCAGGTATTTCTCGGGCTGTTGTCGATGAGTACCGGAACAAACTTGTGTCTGAAGTCGAAACTCTTCTACGTGGAGTCTCGGACTGGGGTAGACTAAATCTAGTCCAATTTAACCCCAAGAAGACACAAGTATGCGCGTTTTCCGCTAAAAAAAACTCCCTTTGTCGCTACTCCCGTCTTTGAAGACACTCTCCTTAAAGCCTCAGCTAGCATCGGAATACTGGGCATATCGAATAACGTTCAGTTTCGCGGTCATCTGTGAGTGTCCATGGGCGGCGGTATCACTTAACATCAGGTGAGCCTCCTGCCCGTTTGCCTCCTATTACATTAAAAAAAAAAATGTTTTAACCATCATATTATATACGAGGACCTTTTGTACATGGTCACCGAACCAATGTCGGTTTTGTAACCTGAACCTAAACTGCGCTAACAATGTTGTTCCGGCCGCCAAGAATATATACAACTTCTCAAACTTAGCCACTGGTCCTCACTAATTGAGGTTGGAGGAACAGTAAATATTTCTTCCTTCACAGATATTTTGGCTTTCTTACGTTGTTTTCCTTCTCGGCATAAGAAAATTAATTGAGCACATATCGTATATAAAATTGCATTAGACATAGCCTCTATATGTCAGCAAGTACTAACTTAACCATGCAAATTTAGAATATTGACTTTTTAAATTCAGCCGTTTTAGTTGGGTAGAAACTAGATGCTTAAATGTTAAAGATATATTACTTCGTATAATATTTTAGAAACCTATTTATAAATTAAAAATCAAGTTTTTTATAAATGAGCTGTTACTGATTTTGTGTACTTTAAAAGGCTTTATAACTGTAATTTTGTTTTTGATGTATTGTATAAATTTATATTTAAACTAGACACGTCGCGGCCAGAGTAGTAAATAAATAATCACGAAATAACAAGCGTGAAAAAGCGTGTCTAAAAAAGGCAAAATAAATTAAATAGTTTTAAAATTCTAGCCACGACTTCAATCAGAATATTTGGCGATGTTTTGCATTTTAATAATGTTTAGGAAACTATTATATTTCATACTACACTCCATATACACTTTTATTTATTTTTTATTATAGTCAAAATTATAGGGCAAAGGCCCACTTCATATTAAGTGATACCGTCGCCCTCACACTCAATGCCAGAGGGGAGTGTCTCGCGAGTTCGTTGCCGACTTTTTAAGGATTGGTACGCTCTTGTGTTGAAGAACGTCTGTCGTGAGAAGATTCAGTAAGATGCAGATTTTCTATTATATTTTCAGGTATAGAATTCGCCTTGTTTGTTTAATTATAACATAACACAAGAAATGTCTAAACAGATGAATTTAAGATGTAAAGTTATACTTTGAATTATGATTATTTATTAATTTTAGCGCCAACAAGGCCACACATAATGCCTAACCTAAAACAGAGAGGGAAAGAAACAAGTTATACCATTTATAACCAACGAGTGGCCTCGATAGTAGGTGTGGACGGCACAAACATAGTGCTTATATGTTTACAAAGTATTTATTAACGTTCTACAAATCTAGAAAGCTAAATCAATACAAGTGAATATGTGGATCCCCAAGGATGCTTGTGGACCTCGGAGGTACATTTTTCTAGGACACTGATAGTTTCCCATAAGGGAATATTACAAAACGTGTTTTGTATAATGTGTAGTATTATTACTTGATAAAAAAAACATTATTTTAAAAAAAGCATTCACCTTGAGAGTGACATGTTGTGGTATGCAAAATGAGTTCACTTCTGAATCATAAAAAGTACGAACGCTCTTAAATTATTAATGTGAAAATATTTAATAATTTTTGTTAATGAATGTTGAATAAAATAGGTGAAAACAAATTAATTTATAAGAACAGAATAATTAATTGCCTGAAAACATTTGAATAAATATGAAATGTAATTGTTTCTGCTTTTAAAAATTATAAATAGTGAGCATTTAGTTTTAATCATACATGCTTGTTTTGTGAATATGTTTTTTAAATTTAATGGAAGCGGACATACCCTATGGCAGTGGCTGTTTGGAATTATTGGTAAATATGTCAATTGCTTGTGACCTTCTCCATCTGCGCATAGATAAACCAAATTAATATTTTCAATTAGTTTTTTATTTAAATAAAAGATAAAGCACTATATATGTTTAATATTTGTGGCGGAATAATGAAATATGTAATTAAACAACAACAATATGTTTAAAAAAGATTTAGTTCCTGAAGTAATTAAGACAGTTACTTTCCAGTAATATTCTGTAACTGTTGTCTTTTCACCATAGCAAGCGTTTTACTTAATTTGTGTTTAAGTATTGTTTAGTTATTTTCGTAGTATATTTTTTAATTATCTATGTAATAGACTAATAAAATAGAAACACGAAGTAAAATGTATCTGCTGTCAAGTAAAATAAAAATTCGGCGCATATAGTCCGAACTCCAAAGTTAAATTATTTTTTTATTTTGTAAACAAATACGTAACTTACAAACAAAACAAAGATTTATCGCCTTATTCGTTGAAGGACTCTCATAAACTATTAAATTTATATAAAATAACAAAGCGTAGAAATAGTTTATTTTTTTAAATTACTACTTTTCAGGATCGTTAGGATACCTTCTCTACGGCCTAGAGGCAGCCTGGCTGTCTCCAATGACAAAGTACCTACAATCCACTGAATCCCCCTTGGGATATCCCCTTTCCAACTATGCCATATCCTGGATCGGTAGTATTAACTGCTTCGCATCAGCGTTTTTCGTCATACCGTTCTCCTACTCTGCTGATAAATTCGGCAGAAAATGGATTGTGATTGCTACTGTTACTCCAAGCATAGTAAGAGTGTCTCTTTATTTATGGATAAATAATGTTTATTTCTGTTACAAATTAATTTTTTTTTATACAAAGAAATATAAATAAATCAGTGGCACTACAACCTTTTTAGGTCCGGGACTCAGATTATTGAATCTGTTTCATGATCATTTGTCAATCTAATAGGCAAATAGGTGATCTGACACACGTCGTCGACTATTCGGTTCTAATGCCTGCCATTCACGGGCGATCCATCGATACATTTGGAACGCTGTCGATCCAAAATTCGTCCATGAATGTGAAAGCACTGTCGGTCCAAATGGAATGGCTCGGCGCGATGGAATTCCAACTGCGCGAAAGTCCATCGCGCCGAGTCAATTGGCGCGGGGCGCATACGCAGGCGGCGCGCTTGTGAAAGCGGAAAACCAACGGTCCGGTCGGTCTGAGCCGTCGTGCCATACGGTTTGCTCGCTCGTGAATGGTGTTACTGGGGACTCGCGAGCCAAACACGCCATTTTGATTTTAGTTTGCGTTTAGCCGTTGGACGGCAAGAACGTGACGCATTGTTAATATAATTCGTTTTCGCAATGAGTTCAGACCGTGACTTTGTTATTCAATTTATTTATAAGTTTAGAAAAAAAAGTCAACTCCTTCATTAAATTTATGTGAGTTGCGATCTTTTCAGCAACCAATCCTTACACCACTTTCTTTTTTTTTTAAACTAGACAAATTGCTATGGTAGATAAATAAAACTCATCTTCTGAATCGAAGTTCATTATGAACACGTCCGGTGCTATCGACGCCTACACTCAAAATGATCAAATGGAACGGCTCGCTGGCGCGTTCGTGAATGGCATGAATTTGGCTCGGCGCGACGTCGAGTATCGAGCCCGTGGCGCGAAAGCCATATGGATCGCCCGTGAATGGCCACCATAAGACAAGCCGATTTTCTCAGGATGTTGTGATGTTCCTTCACCATTCGAGCGAATGTTAAATGCGCACATAGAAAGAAATTCCATTGGTGCACAGCCGGCGATCGAAACTACGATGTTAGGGTTGAGAGTCACTGAAGCCTAGTGGCTGGTATATAAATGTATGGGAGACTCCCATACATTTATATACACTCAGCGTCAAAAAAATCGCACCTTTCTTAAAATTCGTGTCAAGCGATTATAACTTCTAAGATCCTTCTTGTACCCTATCATTATTAGTATCATTTAAAAGCTCAATTAATAAGCTTTCAAAAAAAAAAAAATTATTTACGGAAAATCAAAAACCACAAATCGCCAGCACTTTGATTAAAAAGTGGCGATGTACGCATTTGGAAGCTCACTAATTGTACCACCCTGGACGCGTATAAAACGAGGGGGGTAAAAGTCAATTATGGGTTATTCGCTATCCAGACGTCACAGAGGTCACACCTGAAGAGCTTCGACAGTAAAAACCCAGTGAAAATGGATACCATGGCAGAAGAAGCAGCTCAAGTGGTGGCCCTACCTCAAACCGGACTACGGCAGGTTGAAGTTGCTCGGCAACTGAAAATCAGCCGATTTCGAGTGAAACGGGTATACCAACGGTTTCAAGAGACTGGAGGTTACATCTGGAGGACTGGAGGAGACATGGATCCGGGAGACCTCGCTGCACTACCGTCAGAGATGTTCGCTACATTGTGTCGACGTCTTTGCGGAACCGCTTCTCCAAGGCTGTGGAGCTGCAGCAGTGGCTTCGAGCTACTCGAAGGACAGCAGACAGCGTCTCCACTATCAGAAGAAGGCTGTGAGAAAAGAATTTGATGCCCCGGAGAGCTGCTACAGGCCCCCAATTGACTGCCATCCACCGGACGAACAGGAAGCGATTTTACGAAACGCACGTGCCGTGGACATTCGACCAGTGGAGGAATGTCCTGTTCTCCGACGAAACCCGAGTGTGCCTGTACACCATAGACATGGGTAAGAGAATCTACAGGCGACCAGGGGAGCGTTTCACACCAGCCTGCACCGTGGAAACCGTCGGGTATGGAGGAGGATCCTGCATGTTCTAGGGCGGCATTTCTATCGACGGCAAAACAGACCTTGTGTGCGGCTCCAGAGCTGGAGATGGTCGCGGCCAGGGGTCTCTGACTGCCCACCGGTATATCACCGAGATTTTGGAGGAGCATGTGGTCTCATGTGCAGGTTTTGTCGGCGCCAACTTCGAGTTCATGCACGACTACGCCCGGTGCCACACAACCTTGATTGTCAAGGACTACCTACGTCGAGTTGGCATCAAGGTTATGGACTGGCCAGCAAGAAGCCCAGACCTCAATGCTATCTAGCACCTCTGGGACGAGCTGAAACGGCGAGTTTGGGCCCGTAATCCAGCTCCTGCCACTCTCGATGAGTTTCGAGATGCCATCATCGAGGGGTGGGACAATATTCTCCAGGAACACGTCGTGACGCTCATCAGGTCTATGACTGACCGCTTGGAAGCTGGTCGGAGGGCTAGAGGAGGCAACACTAGGTTTTAAGACTAATTTTTAATTATAGTTATTGTTTATTTTTAATTTTTGTTTTGTTAATTTTCTTTGTAATTTTGATCAGAATACACATTGTTTCACATTTTCCCAGAATTTTCTTTTTTTATGGGGGTGGTTACCAATTTCCTACCGTTTTTAAATAAGGGATTTCATTAGCTTTTAAATGATACTAATAATGATAGGGTACAGGAAGGATCTTCGGAGTTATAATCGCATGACACGAATTTTAGAAAAGGTGCGATTTTTTTGACGCCGAGTGTACCTATAATTAATTAATATCTTTGCACCGACTATTAACAGTTAGCTAAACACAATAAAGAATACAACGAAACAACAACAATCTTTAATAAGTAGAAGTTATTTAACAAATAATACACAAATCTATAATTTCTTGTCAGTCACATAGCAGTTAGCACGTCTCTTGCTGACGCCAACTATAATCGACGCAGGCAGGCTCTTCAATAGTTGCGCTCCCTCAACCGTCATACTCTTGCCGTAGTTTGTACGAATTTTTGTCAAGGCAATGTAGCTTGCTCACATATTAACCCGACTCCTAATGTTTTATTTTTATTTTTGGAATAATCAGATTATTATATATAGCATTTATAATGCAGCAGTGCCTTACTGAATGTTTGCTTATTTACTAACCGTTTATTTCAGATTTCCATACTTCTGAGACTTTTTGTACGAAACCTAATAGTGTTGCTTATAGCGCGGGCCCTCGTCGGCATAGCGGGTGCCGGCATCTTTGTTGTGATACCGATATATGTGCGTGAATTGTGCCAGACTAATTTAATAGGTATTTTTTTTCTTACAATAAAATTCACAAAAGAGAGTGCTTTACATCAATCACAATGTATACAATAATTGTGGCTAATAAGTTATATATTGATGACTTAATTTTCTACAATACTAGTGAATAACTTAAACTAAGGTTGTTCGTTAACAGTCTTAGTCTTAGTTGTGTTTTCCATTCGGTGTCGAGACCCTTGGTCCGTGGGGTCCTAGCGCTTTAAGGCTTTTTAAAGAAATTTCAAAAAGGTTAGTCGACATCACAGGAGACCGAAGATCTGGCAGCTACCTCGGACAAAGAATTAGTCTAGCAATTCAAAGGGGGAACGCTGCCAGTATCTTCGGAACCTTGCCTAAAGGGACTCCTTTTAATGATATATTTTAGTTTATGTTAAGTTTAGTTATTTATTTCAATGTATATTATTTTATTATTATATAAATGTATTATTTATGTTATTAAGAATATATATATTTACTCGTTTCCAAGTTATATAATGAGATTAAATGTCTTAGTGTAATGTTTTGACACTATGTTCGCGTGTCCGACCGCACTAGCAATATTTATAAGCGCATATTTATTTATTATTATGTTCCACAGCCCCTTTTCTTTTTAGAATATCGATCAGTCTTCAGTGAAATACGATATTCTAGGTTAAAAATGTTTCTTTGTGCTTTTCTTTTACCGTTTAGCCTTAATTACACTTGAGAAATAGTGCCTAGGCGAGGTTGTGAATTGCTTAACCACTCAGCTAGCTGTTCGTCTATTTTACCAGCTAGCTGTTCCTTCGCTGTTTTAATTACCATGTGTAGTGTTAGTGCTATTAAGAATTATTGGAAAATACATGATTGTATAGATGGATACAATATGTATTATATATTAAAATCTATAAAGATTGTCATAAAAAATCTCTTCCAGGTACCATAGGATCTTTGGGCGCCCTTTTACAAAATATTGGAATTGTTTTAATGTATCTCCTCGGAGCATACTTCGATTATCATACGTTGCTGTGGATCTGTTTAGCTTTTAACGTTTTTATGGCGACAATGATGATATTTGCTCCTGAATCACCAGCGTATCTCGTCAAACGTGGCCATATTGATGTGAGTATTATTTATTTAGTTATTAAGTGTACGACATCATACATAGTACTAAATCTACTGATTATTTTACTAAATCTTCCATCTAAAATGTATGACAATTAAAGTAAACATAAGTTTTACAAAAAAATAGAAATTAAAAATACAATTAAAACATATTATACAAGATAATATAAGCACACAATAAAATAAAATTATTAGAATTTGCTTTGAATTTTTTATACTTGTAACTTTATGAAACTTTAATAAAACTTATCCAAGCCAAGATTACAAAGATTGATGATAAATTCATCAATTGATGATAATTTTAAGACTTTTGTCTTTTGAGATAAATATTATGGTACAAAGTAGTATTACAGAAAGTTTAGGGAACTATAGTAGGAGATGATTTATGACTGTTCCTACAAAATCATTACATCATTTTGCTTATAATATAACTTCAAATAAATATTATGTTTCAATCTTATAATCCCGGTATTGAGCTTTATTGAAGCATATTTAGTGAAATATAGTTTTTTTTAAATAATATAAATTGGTTTAAAATAGAGAGTAGTGTTGGCCTAGTGGCTTCAGCGTGCGTCTCTCATACCTGAGGTCGTAGGGTTTCTTTCTATGTGCGCATTTAACATTTTCTCGAACGGTGAAGGAAAACATCGTGAGGAAACCGGCTTGCCTTAGACCCAAAAAGTCGACGGCGTGTGTCAGGCACTGGAGGCTGATCACCAACTTGCCTATTAGATTTAAAAATGATCATGAAACAGATTCAGAAATATGAGGCCAAGACCTTAAGAGGTTGTAGCGCCACTGATTTATTTATTATTTTTAAATAAAGTTCCTGACAATTTTATAAAAGCAAAAACATCATTTACGTACAGTGACATAGCACTTGGAGGCATATAGCACGCACTTCAAATCGCCGCACATGGGCACCTTCCAGTATCCTTTAAAATCCAGAATTAACATTTATTGCCGTTTTAGAAAGCATATTCAACTGTAGCGTTTCTCAGAGCAGTTAATGAAAACAATGCCATTGTGAAAAATGAAATAGAACATATACAACGAAAGGAGGAGGAATATAAAAATATACCTCGGCTGGGTTATAGGGAAATATGTAAGTATTTATTCACCTAAGCATTGATATTATACACATAACATGACAAAAATGATTTGGCTCATAGTCACCAAGGCTGCTGATTTCAAGCTATAACGATGACTTAGTTTATTCCGTTGAAAAATGTATATTAATAAATTATGACAGGACAGCGTACAGTACTTTAGACTTTTTGTTGTATTGCTTTTTAGTCAATATCGTACAGAAAACCAGAAATTCGGAAACGTTTATCTAAGTATGATAAAATAACCAAAAACAAACCAAAGTACTTATATATTTTTTAGTAAGCAATTAACAAATAAATTTACATTAAATTAAACATTACATCTGTTAATTTATAAACAACATATAACCACTAATCGAACAATAATAGCTATTACTTATAGTTATTATATGGTGCGAGCGTTGAATAAGTATCGCGCACTCCTATGCACTGTCCTTATATTATAAAAAGGAAAGATTTGTAAAAAATTTACTCCAAATATCCACTGTTCGAATGCTTATTTACCTCACTTTCTGTTGAATTGTGATTACGCTGTTATAGAAAGAGACAGTCAGTCATCTAACACTATATGTGTTCTGAAATAATTAAATGAAAAAAGTATTTTTTCTACCAAATAACTTCTTAATTATTTGCACTGATTTTTGTATAATTCATATTCCTATCTATTTACGTACATATTATAAGCCTAGTGTAAATATATCATTTAGTTTGTGTCACCGTGGAAATATCAGTATTCTTATCTCACTAGCGATAAGAGTCAAAAGTTTAGGAATCCAGGTAACAATTTTCCGATTTATTTTCAAAATATAATTAATCATGAATACAAAAAAAATACTATGAAAGAATATGTGGAATGCATGCTTGCGCTATGCTAGATACCTTCCGTAGATTCAACTTAATGGACAACTAAAAATATAAACTCTTTTTTATATAAGGGGCGACGTGAGGCTCATCTGATGTTAAGTGATACCGCCACTATGGACTCTCTCAATGCCAGAGGGCTCGCGAGTGCGTTGCCGGCGTTAGAATTGTTATACTCTTTTCTTAAAGGACCCTAAAGGTGACGTTTTGTCTGTCGAATTGGTTCGGAAATACTAGAGTGGGCAGCTGGTTCCACATGGTGGCAAAAACTGCCTTAAAAACGCTCAGTTGTATGTTGTAGAATGCGGGTGGTATTTCGTATTCTGCCTTGTACAATAATGTAACTTATTCTTTTTAAGTTAAAAACAAGTCCTGGCGCAACGGTTTTATAATAATGATGCTCGTCTGGACCACATATGGATGGAATGGTGCCCTCACGATCATTACTTACGCTTCAGCTGTACTTGAGGCCACCGATTCTAACATTAATATCAGCCCGGAAATACAATCCATCAGCTTTCCCGTTGTATCGATTATTGCTGCCTTTACTTTGACCATCGTTGCTGAGAGGTGTGGAAGAAAGGTAAGTTGTATTCAATTGCTTTTACTCTTTATAAAAAGCGTATATAAACAATTAATAGACCATTCTTAGACTGAAAAATACTAATTACCTACACAATACTTTAAAATAATTTAAATTAATATTTAGCTATATAGCATTAATATATTATAATCCCTAGTTATACCACTGAGAATAATAACAAAGTCTATCAGTGAAGAATGATAATGTGCAGAGTTGGCCTAGTGGTTTCATCGTGCGACTCACATCCCTGAGGTCGTAGGTTCGATCCCCGGCTCTGTACCAATAGACTTTCTTTTTATGTGCGCAAATAACATTCGCTCGAACGGAAAAGGAAAACACGGTGAGGAAACCGGCTTGCCTTAGACCCAAAAAGTCGACGGCACAGGAGGCTGATCGCCTACTTGCCTATTAGGTTGACAAACGATTATGAAACAGATACAGAATCTGAGGTGCAGACCTAAAAAGGTTGTAGCGCCACTGATTTAGTTATTTTATTAGTAAAGTAGGCTGTGAGCGTTACTGCGGCTAAGTGAAGTGATTGTACTAAACAGTATATTATAGTATTTTTATGGTGATTCAGCTGCTCGTGGAGTTACAAACCCAGTCGGCCATTTAATTAGTACGCGCTTATCTAGAAACCCCTGGTTAATCGTAGTGAAAACTGGTTCCTATAACTTATGAATACCTGTTTCAGGCTCTTCATGCAGGATCTTATGCTCTATCTGGGTTATCCTTTAGTCTACTTGGAGGAGCAATGCTGTGTCAAAAACTGGGCTACATGATTCCTGGCTGGCTCCCAATCACGTGCATGATTATCGCAGTTGCCATGTTTTCTAGTGGAGTCAGGTCTCTTCCATTTATTATATGCCTCGAGATGTTTAATTTTCAGGTAACTACCAGGCATTATTGTTATATAGCGGTTTCTGTAGGTATAGCCGTCAAATTCTCAAAGTAAATAGTTAATAACAAAACTTCCTCTGCCGAATATTGGTCTAATGGGCATTTTATACAATGGTTTAGTCAGAAGTACTTAATTACTATCGAGCTAGAAGGCCGGTTGTTATATAATTAGTTATAAGATATGGGAATAATATGATCTTTTATTTCCAACATGAATATTTATACAATATTTACAACAAAATTTACTACTATTCTTAACTTACCCAGTAATAATAATAATTAAAAATTTATTATTAAGTGCGTGCGTACAAAGTACATACATATCAGAAGTGAAACTTCTTTGGCAAACAAATTTTTAAGTCTTGTTCATATTTATACAAATTTAAAACTTTAGATTTCCGAGACTTAGAGGGAGGGAAAAAGGTAGATATGTTATGAAATTAAGGAATTTAATTGTCATTAAAATATTAAAAAGTAATACAAATTATAAATTCAATTTATTTCTTCGATAATTAAAACACTTTGAAATAAATATTTTAACCAAGTATGCAAACTTTCTACACAGATTTTAATTGTAACGTCTAGATTGGTTCGTTAACTTTAAAACAGCGAAAGGGTCATATCCTTAAGTTTAAGTTTGTGTACTGGAAAGGACCTTAAAACTTTTTTGAAGAAAAACAGAAAGTTAAAGAAAATTGGTTTAATTAAAAAATTGGTTTTAACAATAGACACAAGCTTTATGCAAGGGTTTTTTTATGTTTTAATAAGGTGTATTACCTCCACGTGCCCTTATTATGGATTCTACTCGGTTCCGCGTAGATTTGATTAGGGTTATTAAAACATCTTGCGGAATATTGTCCCATTCTTCTGAAAGTGCTGTTTTTAGTTGTGCCACTGTCGTAGGCACAGGATTTCTCGCATATACAGCTCTGTTTAAATTATCCCAAAGATGCTCAATGGGATTAAGATCCGGGCTGCGTGCTGGCCAATTCATTGTACGTATCCCAACCTCTTCGCAATATTGTCGAACTTGTGCAGCAGCGCGCGGCCGGGCATTATCCTGCATTAAAGTAAAATTTTCGCCGATAAATCCCATGTAAGGCACCACGTGATCTTCTAATCTAACGCTCCTCATTGCAACTTTGAGCATATCGCTCCCCACGTCGACGATAGACTCTTCTGCGACCATCTGCACCATATAAACATGTCCTACACTCGTCTGTGAACAATACGGAGGCCCATTGCTCACCTGTCCAATTTAGGTGATCACGCGCAAATCTTAAGGGAGCTCGTCTGTGAGCCAGAGACAACTTTGGACCAATTCCTGGTCTAAAAGGGGTGATATCCGCTTCCTTCCTTCCTTCCTTCCTTCTTCTTATTGTTCGTGCACTAACGTTTACTCCACGCACTTCATTAAGCTCTGTTTTGATGTTAACTGACGTGAGGAAACGATTTCGAAGGGAAGTTGTAACAATAAATCGGTCATCACGACCGGTGGTTGCTCGAGTTCTGCCTGTATTCTGCCGGTGACAATAATTCAATTGTCAAAAGAATAAAAAAATCAATAAGAATCAGTTTTAAAAAACACGGAAATCTGATACTTAAATAGGTAAATTTTCTTTTCCCGGCTATAATCATTTGTTTTACTGCAGTTCTATTTTAAAAATAGTGCTTTTTTTTAAGATTAAGGGCCAGTCTCTCTATATTTATATAATTTCATATAAAAAGTTTTCATACTTATAAAAATAATAATTTCAAAGTAATCCTGAAGTTTGATGCAGTTTATGAGTCCGTCAGTATATTTCATAAATTCTCTTTACGAAATTTTAATTTTAAAAATAGAATTTCTATAAGGTGTTTCGCCTTTCTCACTCTCTCTCAATCGGTCTCAATCGCTATCTCCATTTTCTTCGACAAAAACGCTGCACATCTTCGTGACGTTTTCGTAAAAATTTACCCTAATGCTCCTTAAGAAGTTTCACTTAAAAAATTAATAATGAAGCAGAAAGGTAACTGATTTTTTTATTAAACTCAACTTTGACTAAGTTCATCCGAGTTCATTTTAAACAATATTTACTTTTACTTGTGAGGTTATATTGTTCAGAATTATAATGGAGTTTATTCAGAATATACGAAACGAACGAAATTTTTAAATCTGACTTTTAATCTATTATAGGTTCGAGCACAAATCACAGGAATCATACAAACGTATGGATGGGCTATGGCATCGACACAACTTCTGGCTTTTCCCACACTTATTGAAACTTTTGGTCTTCATGTAAGTTTCATCATTTTCGGTGTAATCAATTTTACTGGGATGGTGATTGCTCTTGGTATACCAGAAACTAGAGGCATATCTGAAGAAGAAATTTTGAGAAAATTAAACAAATAATAAATGGTGTATCTATGTAAAAATAGTATATACTTGTAAACATAAAAGTTGTAAACAACTTTTATAAGTATTTGATGTATGGTGTTTGAGTGCACAAATAAAAGAATATAAATGCACACTTTTATTTCATCTGTATACTGCGAATTAACAGTAGTCTTAGCTTCGGTGGTGTACAGGTCTACGTAGTGTGTAGAGGAGGTCTACGTGATTGTATCCCGCTACGGCGTGGGCCTATTAAAATATCATATACGGAGTAAAAAGATATGCTTCTAACTTAAAATATACATCATAAATATTAAAATATATTTTATAAATAATATTTATATAACGTTGAATGTTGATTTAATAAAATGGTAGTAGTAGTGATAAGAGCTATAGTAATAAGCAAATAAAAAGAATAAACAGTGCTACATAGTTATTTATAAAATGTGCATGATTAAATTAATTTAAACACGAAAAAGGTTAGTAATAACTATAACTATCCCTGACCGTGTCATGTCAAATAGTATATTTTTATCACATCTACATAAAAAAGTGGTTCTATGTTTATAAGGGTTGAGTGGTTTAAATTTGGAATGTGAACATTCACTATGTCTTCATCACCTAAGACATCGATCAGGAACATAAGAAAACATTATTGGGTGTCAAAAATGGACAGGATTAAATTAAAACTAAAATTTTCAGTAGTAAAAACACATGAAAATTCTTTCTTGTGTTGCAAATAATACTTTCTTAACACTGCATAAAGAATATGGAAATTCAAGTTGCATGCGGCATTTAAATTAATATCAGATTCAGCATGAAATAAAATTGAAATCAAATAAATAGACAAACAATAGTTTCATTTAATTAGAGTTTCAATTACTACATAAGCTATCCTTTTTATTGGAAGGTAATTTAGCGCTTGAAGGAGCCATTCGCCATTTGAAATGATGTGATAATTCTACAGTATTCAACAACTGTGAAAATTCATCGTAGTAAGCAAAATATTTATTTGATTGTTTTTGTCTATTTAGAGCCAGTTTTTTGATCCGTAGTAAAAAATGGTATAACCATTTGTTACATTAACTATAGTTAAATGACTAACCATTGGTAAAATCGTAAATGCGTTTTTCGATGTCTATTTTAACTATAGTTAAACTTAACAATTGGTCAATTTGTTGCCAGTGCAATGAACAATGACATCCCAAAAAATGTGGTTCTTTTTTGTGGGTAACATTTATTTTGTATGACAACACTAGACATATTGAGTGAATGAAATCCATTTTTGCCATCTTCATTCGTTATTTGCGCTTTGAAGAGTTTGAAGTGTCAAATTAATCTAAATAACACGATATAAATAAAGTTGTTTTTCTGTGTTTTAATACGGTTTACACCTTTTACGATACTTAAATATATAAATAACGATGTCCGCAAACAGCCAACGGTCAAACAAGTAAGTACAAACATATTTTCGTGTTATTTATTCCGGTTTATCTTGTGTTTCGTAATAGAAAGTAATACATTTATGTTTTGTTAAAGGGACAATCCTGCTAACTTCGCCAAAAAAGAAACTGCCAAACTGGTGATGCTTCTCAAGGATTACACAGTCGTAACCTGCAAACGACTGATCACTGCAGCAATCTACAAAAAAATGAAGCTTGGAAATCTCTGTGACGTTTTCAACTCAGATGGGTCTAGACACCGAAGTGTTAGTGTTATTTAATATACCTTTAATGAAGGTCTAGGCACATAATTATATTTATTCTTGTTTTCAGCTGTGTCCTACAACAAAAGGAAAATTCTTTTAACCCTTTGGAAACAAGGAAGCGGATTATGATCCACACGCATAAAAAAATTGAGGTTTTGAAAGAAAAACAAGCAAAAAGAGAGCATGATTTGTCCAATTATGCTAAGGAAGAGCATCAAAAATCCATGCTGCATAAAGAGGAGGCGCACCAAAAAGCGGTGCAGCAATGGAAGAAAGGCACAATAAATATATGTAGCAGCAAAAAAAGTTGCATCAAATTGAGGTGGAATGCAAGAAGAAACAATTAGAAAATATTTAATTGTTACTTTAGGGTTTCATGTAAATTTTGTAATGTTTTATTTTAAAATTGGTTTGTATTTAAGTTATAATTAAACAGTTTATTAATCAACTCACATGTTTTATTTATTAATTCTTGTAATAAAGTAGGTAGATGCTAACTCACATATGTAATAAAATAAGAATATCATAGGTCCTTACTAATGTGTAGCTGTAGTTTATTATACATATATGGCATATATGGCAGCAAAATACATAATGAATGACAGTTAATATTATTTATTAATATACTTAATTATATACTGCTGCGGTTCTGTAGCTAGTAATGAAGCAAAATAGGTTTGTATGAGCTGCTGTCTATACTCTTGTTCATTGGCAGTTTAAGATCATTCCTAATTTCAGTAACAATCCAGAGCACTGTTCCCTTCGTAACGGTGACAAAAATCTTTTGCATGCAAAAACCAACCTAGGCAGTAGGCACCTCTCATTCGAATTCTTCGCGAATGTATAACAAAATAAACACTACTTATCCAGAGCTTGATATATTCGGTAGAGGGCTAAACAATTTAAAAAAGCAGCTGTTAAGTTCCTATCTGATACCTAATCCGCTGTTTTTCTAGTGATTTTTAGCTTAACAGTAGGTAAGCAAAGAATTTGGTAGGTACTAGTAAAATCTAATATTGGACGTGTAATATTTTTATTTTTTGTAACATTTATGTTTACCATAATTGTCATGTATCTTATAAAAGATCGCTTGTAACATATAAACTGTAGAAATAGCATTATATATCATGTGGTGAACTTTAATAAATAAATGGGGTAACGGTGACAAAATATTTTTGGTCTTCTCATTAACACATTCTAATATAATATCATCGTCTCATTCATTAAAGTATCTCACTATGTTAAAATTCATCATTAGATAGTAATAAACGTATTTATCATAGTTTAGCGGCCATCTTGTTAACCCTCCGATATTGAGTAGTTAACTTTTTTGACTAATGGTTAGATATTTGACCATTTGTTACTCTAACCACGGATCAAAAAATGCAATTTGCAAGTTCTAACTAATAGTAAGAATATTTAACCAATAGTTGAGTTAACTACGGATCAAAAAACTGGCCCTTAGGGTTTATTTTGCGTATTCTCAAATATAAAAGCGAAAATAGATTGTATAATGCACATGCAACTCCATGATTTGGGCCCCACAAGAAAAGAAATAATGTTTAATGGTTAAGGGAAAGCCAAATATCGGTGTAGTGTAAAAAAAATTATACTTCCGTTTCCGTACAAAATATAAGAACAAACAAATATTATCCATCATAATATAACATTTTATTTAAAGACAACTTCTTTAAACGATATTAACGCTCGTTGATTACATCATTTACATAACTAGAAGTGAACAAGGAGTTATGTTAATATGTAATTAATTTGCGTTTATTTCCTTAACAATTATTTTCGTGAAATAAGTAAAATTATTTGCTAATCGAAGTCCCAGACAGTGTAAAATATTTCATATTCCAATCAAATAGTAAACATAACTTATTATAACACACTATCTACATCTGTCAGTTTGTTAATGTCAATGCTCTTCATTGCACGTATATTGCGAATTAAATTCAAAAATGGTGGTGGAATTGAAGACGCAACTACAAAACTTAAAGGGTCATACATATTGGCAATGGCTTTTTGGAACAATAGGTAATTTATTATTTGGTTTCACTACTCTCGCTTGAAACCATGCTGTTTTAAGACAACTACCTTTTTAGGTCTGGGCCTCAGATTTCTGTATTTGTTTCATGATCATTTGTCAATCTAATAGGCAAGTAGGTTATCAGCCTCCTGCGCCGTCGAAGGAAAGCCGGTTTCCTCAGGATGTTTGCTAAACAATATATATAATAAAACAAAAGACTAAACTATACTCATATATTTTTTAATTATTTGGAATTCAATAAATGTCATGTATTTTTGTACATTAAATGTCTAGGTTTACGGACGATCATTTTTACGCAATAACGTCATAAGAAAACATGATCTATAACTAAATTATCATTTTTTTGCATAATACAAAGAAGGAGTTAATTGGAAATTACATTTTTTCAATGAAGTAACATTTATTTGCACTCGTTAATTTTTTGTTTTAATCATCAAAGAACAGGTATATGATATTAATTCGATAATCAAATTCTTAAAATGCAAATTATTATTTACCGTCTTTGCTGCAATTGTTGTTGTAATAAACAATGGAATTCTCACGAACTTTTCTCTTCACAAAAAAAGGCCTAATCGTGATGTACGATAAGTGTGCGTACTTATTTATCTCATTCTTGGTTGACAGCAAGTTTGGGCTTTTTGGTCTACGGCCTGGAGGCAGCCTGGTTATCTCCCACAACAAAGCACCTTCAATCGGCCGACTCTCCTCTGGGCTACCCCCTTTCTAACAGTGCCATATCCTGGATTGGGAGTATAAACTGCTTCTCGTCAGCGTTCTTCGTAATCGCCTTCTCTTACTCGGCTGATAGATTCGGAAGGAAATGGGTAGTGTTTGCTATCACTATACCAGTAATGGTAAGGAATTAATTTCGATCTACATATTAGAATGTCACAATTAACGCTGCATTTGAAAAACATTTATAGCAAATTTTTAGCTGATACTCGGAAATACTGTATTAATTAGTGTATTTCAACGTTGTCCACACGTCGTCCCCACCGGGGCCAATTTGGTCGTTAATTTTAAGTTTGGGGGGCAATTTGAAAATGGATATTTTTCATTATATGTTTTGAACATTTACTTACTGTGTTTCGTTAACAATTTCCTAGTATTCTCTTCTTAAATCCTATCATCTATGTTAAGAAGTCTTAAGTGAACAATTCAATTTTAATATTAAAAATTATGTATATATTGAGTTACACAAACAATTTTGGGAAACATTAGTCCTAATGTTAACCTAACGTGTGCGGTAATTAAATTCATTAGGTTTCATAATTAAGAGTCTCATCTCCCTCGGACAAGCACTAAAGCTGGCGCGGCCGCAGAGCAGACGGAAAATAATAAACGACACAAATATAAGTCTTTCCTCCAAGTTTGTATTTGCTTCCTAATTAGATATTTAAGTTGGCGCCTGGTAGGTAGTAACGGTGAGCCCAGAGCTGGTGCTTTCTTCGCTCGACAAATAAGTATCGCAATACAACGAGGAAATTCCAGCATTAAATTTGTGTTAATTTTCTATATACTTATCAATTTAATATTATTTTTACTATATTGTAACTTTTGTATATTTGTGTGAGGTCAGATTAAAATAGCTTATACAAACTTAGAACTCGTTGCTTCCTTAAAATATGTTATGGAAACAAAAGTAAAAAGTAAGTAAAAATCTTTGAATGGTATATTTTGATATATTGGTTATATAATGGTTTTTTTTTCAACTAACGCAGCTATAAACTGCAAGCACCTACTACTAAAAATAAGCTTAATACAAAATTTTTGAATTATTTTTCAGCTTTCCATTCTCTTAAGACTGTTTGTGCCAAACATAATAGCTTTGTTGATCGCTCGCGCCCTCGCAGGCAGTGCAGCCAGTGGTGTCTTCGTAATTATCCCTATGTATATACGGGAGTTGTCTCAGACTAACTTAGTTGGTAAGCAATATGTATGATTATATTGCCTTGTACAATGGGCATTCTGTCTGTATATCATTATAGTAGGATTCTGGTATCATGGTTCTTTAAGCAAATAATTACACACATTAAATATTAAAACATAGGAAAGTTGTAAAACATTACTGTTGGGAGATATTGTATAATGCATGAGGAACTCAGCATGTCTTAGACCTTCTCAGAATTGACATTTGTCAGACAGTGCTGATCTTCAAGTAGTTAAAAAAACCCCAATAACATGCACATAAATGTGTCCCATGCTTTATTAAGGGGTCGGGTATTGAGAAAGAACTTCAAGACACTGAGACATCTAAATATTTACAATCTAAATGTGCACTTAGATGCCTCAGCGAATACGTTCAATTATAATCTATTGATATTTTTAGGTGCCACGGGATCGTTGAACATATTGCTCCAAAATATGGGCTTTCTCATAATGTATCTGATAGGAGCATACTTTGAATATTATACTGTGTTATGGATATACTTGACCATCACAATTCTGATGGCGTGCTTAATAACGCTTGTCCCGGATTCACCAGCTTATCTCGTGAAACGAGGAAGGCTGAATGTAAGTACATTTTAACTTACTATCTAAAATGCTTGTGAGAATCGGATACTTTTTCACTTTCTTACGATCACATCACTGAAACACTTTTCGTACGTTAAGGGACTTCAAAACGGAATCGTTTTAATCCGTATCTTAGAAATAAGTCTCAGGTTTTAAAAGCAGGATAGATTTGGTTTGTAATATCATCCATTTGTTTACCCGGTTATTAAAAACAAGTGAATCCGCAGTCAACAGCTTCCTAACAATATGGGCGTTAATTTTTCTAGTACACGAGATTTGAACAACAATTGTTTCATGAAAATTTATGTTCTTTATCAGGAAGCCTTTGCGACAGTTGCCTTCTTGAGAGGTCGCTCAATAGATGACAAGGAAGTAAAAACAGAAATTGAGTCCATGCAACAGCAGGAAGAGCAATTTAAAAACCAACCCAAACTTAGTTTGAAAGAAATATGTAAGAAGAATTTTTATGAAACTTGAAAAAGGCAGACAATTTGTATTCATCGAGAAATCTTTATAATCTTCATTTAATCTGCATGTACAATAACCAGCTCAATTCCCCGTGTATTTGATTGATTTGGTTTACTTAGGTACCATTATGCTATACGTATATTTTACTTTATATGAGCATTTTTTTATTTATTGAAGAATGTTTTTTAGGATGATCCCAATACAACAAGTATTATAATCAAGAACGCAAAAAAGATAAAAATACCATAGCCATTAACATTAAAAAATCCATTCATACATTTTTTTTATACAAAACTAAGTTGGTAAATTGTGTGTTGGTATTAGTGAGTTGGGTTAGTTTCATCATTAATATCTCGAGAACGGCTGGACCGATTTCGTCACCGGAATATGATGATACATATAAAAAAATTACGATGTATCTAATAAAACACTATTTTGACCGGATTGAAGTTATGTATTATTATAAATTTACAACTATTTAACATAATTTTAAATTTATCCGACGTTTCTTCAATCCGGTCAAAATAGTGTTTTATTAAATGAATAAAAGTTATGTTAATCAAAGACAATATTACGATGTATCAATAAATCATCGAGCCATTTATTTTTAATTAATGGCGTAAAAGGGTACATGACCTGTCACGAAATGTTGTCTATGGTTTGTTTTGAAAGTAATGTATAGCTAATAGCAAAACGTTAATATTGGAGTCTCCCGGGCGATGTTGTGATTGAACTAATAATGTTAATTCATTAACTGTTAAACGGAACAAGGTTAGCCGGGTCAGCTAGTAAACTATATAAATGATTAATACCACACATAACATATTGTGATTCCAATGTCACAAAATATACCAATTTTATAATATACGCAATTTTAATTCCAGTCAAAAATAAAGCATGGCGCCGTGGTTTCATTCTCTTATTGGCATCATGGGTAACCCAGACATGGAATGGTTCCTTTGCTATCGTGACCTACGCTTCAATAGTCCTACAGGCCACAGGCTCCAACCTGAGCATCAGCCCTGAAATACAGTCCGTTAGTTTTCCAATTATCATGATTATTGCATCCTTCACGTTGACTGCAATTGCCGAACGGTGTGGTAGAAAGGTGAGATTTTCCGAGGTTTAATTAAGAAATAAAGCAAGAACTCTTTGGGGGTTTCAGAAGAAAAACCAAGGTTTTATTCGACAGTTATCAAAGTTTACCTGGTGGCCGATAAAAAGTAATTATTTATTGAACATGTCGAAACTGAACCGTCCTTACTAAACAATGATCTCTCGGCCTCTCTATTAACTAACACTTTTTTCAACTAGGAAAATAATTTAATTGAAGTCGCGTTCATTCAAAGGTAATCAAAGTAATCTTAAAATAACAATTAATGCTACACTGCTGGCCATAAACATCTTCAACTTTATATGGTGCTGCGAACATATTATGTGAAAATTTCAGTTGTAGCACTTATATCTCATGCCAGCGAGATCATACTGCACGTAGTCAATGAAAACGGACCTGCAATGGCAGATTCCAAAAGTACAAGTAGTTTTTTTACAGCCAACATAAGATTTGAGATCTCCTGTGGAACATTACTACGAAAATGGGAGTTCCCAAACACCTAAATACCCTTTATCGGAAATGTACCTCATCCATGAGGTTCAACCGTTTGACTTCCAACCTATTTATTGCGATTTTAGTAAGCCCACGTATTATCTCGCATCCCGCATATTTAAATAAGAGGTTTTGGTAAAATAATAGGATGATAGAGGAGGATGTTAATTTAACTTATCTTAATAAAATCTTAATTTAATTTTTAAATATAGTACAGTTTTGGTATTTTGTGAATTATTTAAAGGCGCACACGGTCGGACACTCAACTGAAGTTAAGTAAAATCACCACCTATGGTCACACAGACAGCCAGAAATTATGGTGATATGGTAGACACCGTCCATTATTCCACATGAAGCCTTCATTCGCTCGAGTTTTGTATTTCTCCATCTCTTTCAGCCTCTCCACGCTGGTGCATATCTTCTATCATCAATCGCTCACACTGGTCTTGGAGTATCTTTATTAATTCAGCAGACCGGATATCCCATTTCCTCCTGGCTTCCTATACTGTGTATGATTCTGGCTGTGGCCACATATGCGGGCGGAGTGCGGTCGATGCCCTATATCATCAGCGTTGAGCTGTTCAACTTTCAGGTAATATATTCAATAGATTTGATGACGATTACTCAAGCGAGATTAGTGTTTCAGTTATAACTAAACTATAGTAATAATTATAACAGTGTGTGATAACATTAATTTTGCACGTCAATATCATATGTTAACCTTCGGCCTAGCTCATCCAGGATTTTTTCTGGCTTCTGGTTGACTTCTGACTTCTTGCAAAATTTTTAGTTAGAGTTACGGTACTCGTCTGTTTGTAACAAAAAATAATTATACTAAAGATATACTCAAATATGGAATACATAATATGTACAAAAGGTCCTAACTTTTACAAAAGGAAAAAATCAATAAAAATGATTAAATACATTTAACTAAGTAATACCTAATTTATTAAGATTCCGCGATAGCTTAAACAAGTCAAGGTTTAAATAGCGGTCGTTGTATGTCTGTAGCATAGTTGGTGTTGATGTGAGGAATGTGAAGCAAAACTATTTTTCTAGAAGTGAGCTGCAATTTATTTTATTTGAGATGATATCATATTGTAATACTCGTAGCTATAAATCGTATTGTTTTCGTCGAGAGCCTAAAGTGTCAATTTTAAAATGTTCACACGCGTCTTTATAGGTATTAAACTTATTATGGGCCTTATCGTAGATAAATTTGTGTAAACTGTAATGCGTGACTAGGTGACCAAACCGAGTAAGAATAGTTTAGCATTTATTCTTTCTTCATGAAAATGTTCACTGACACGTCTTACAAAACAAAACTGCCTATAGGCTTTGTATATCTTTATAGGTACGAGCAAAACTCTTGGGCCTGCTACATACCTTTGGCTGGTCGTCGGTGTCAACACAGCTCTTCGCGTTCGGTCCACTTGTGGACTCATTTGGACTACATTACACGTTCATCCTTTTTGGAGTTATCAACCTTCTTGGTGCCTGTATTGCTATGTTTATACCGGAAACAAGGGGGAAAACGGAAGAAGAAGTTATGGGGAAACTTGATAAGAAAAGAAAATGTCCTAGTTAGTCCAACAGAATCTCTAATAGACAGTGTAGAATGTTCGTTTTTTATAATTAAATGTATAAATAAATTGCTACGAATTTTTATTTTAGATTGTTAAAACAATTAACTATTCATTATTTCTATGTGATTACTTATATTGGTTTTTATAAAACCCAAACCGGTTTTTATTAATTAATTTTTTTTTGTTTTAAAATATAAATTAGTTTTAAAATGAAAACTAGAATCAAATTTCTAGTTAACGATTGACAACATAATTAATACAGTTTTAAGGGTAAAAAACGGTTTATCTCGATTTCCGGCAAAACTAAAAGTCCTATCGAAGAAAGTTAAATGGCAAAGTTGTAGGTAATAAAAAGATCTAAAACTTTTGTTTTCACATAACCTCAAAATTGATGTGAAAAATTCAAAAAACCAAGTTTTTGGTTTTTAATTTTTATCTTTTACAAATTTCTTTTTTTTTAACGAAATTTGGTGAAAACTTACCTTATTATGTCCCAAATATACTGTAATTTATTTGATTAAAAATATTTATTTTTTCACCTTATTTTGAATTAATATCGAAAAAACACCCTAATTTTCAATCGAAAATTCTGACGTCAAAATTTCAGCTTTTTTCAAAAAGTTGGTATGCTTTCAGTTCATTGAAATCTCTACTTTCCTATGGTAAAAAAATCTTAATATATATATTTCTTCTGTGCGTGTGTATGTGACTGAACTCCTCCTAAACGACTGGACCAATTTTGATGAAATTTTTTGTGTGTGTTCAAGGGGATCTGGGAATGGTTTAGATTCACAAATCAGCCCGACAGATGGCGCTGCAGTCGGTACTTTCATACTTTGTTTAATATCTTAATCGGTTGAAATATCATGCAGGACAACGTCTGTGGGGTCCACTAGTATATATATATTACCATAGTAAATCTTCTCAGAAAATGCAAAACATCGTATGCAGTAACGCCCAGACCCGTCATACCCTTCCCTACTTCTCTATGAATCTTCTTTAAATTATAATTAGATGCCTATTTATTACTATTTTAAGATAACTTATATATACCTGAGTGACCTAAAAAAAATTTTTAGCCTTTAGATGGGCTAAAATTTTCGTATTTCATATCCCTGACGTCGTAGGTTCTTTATTTCTATGTGCGTATTTGACATTCGCTCGAACGGTGAGGGAAAACATCGTGTGGAAACCGACATGACTTAGACTGAAAAAGTCAAAAGCGTGTGTCAGGCAGGAGGCTGATCACCTTACCTATTCGATTTACAAATGATCATGAAACAGATACAGGAATCTGTGGCCCAGACCTAAAAAAGTTGTAGCGCCACTGATTTTATAAGTCGGAGGTCCTGGGTCTATTTTCTATAGAAATAGGATACCAAAGGCGACGTGCCTTTGGTATTAGAGGGAAATTCACTCAATTATACACAATAATCAACATCCACTATACTCGTAATTTATGAACTCGACACTTTAAACTTTAAAGGTAGGTAGTAAAGGAAAACAAACTAAATAACAATGGTTTAAAACATTGCTTATCAGCGATGTTGTGCAAGAAACCTCTAGAAATTAGTGTATTTTGAAATGAAGCTGAGAAATGGCTGTACAGAGTGTATTTTTAGCTTATTTTCTAATTTTTCTTAAAGATTGGACCATATGTGGTAAGTAATACAAATTTTAGAATTTTATATTGTTTAAAATAAAGTCACCGTTTAGTAGAATATATTAAATGAAAGGATTATAATGCGGTTTTCATCAATCGATAAAGTAAAAAATATACGATTCTTGTTGGCAAAATTACCAATAATAGACGCATTTAATTTAAATGTGAGCATCAGGTGAGCCTCCTCCCCGTTTGCCCCCTGTTACTTAAACAAAAGGTTAATAATTAAGATTAGTTATATTACACTATATACGTATTTATAATATATAAATTAATTTTTAATTAAAAGATATAAAACGTAAGATTCAGTTGCAACTCTAAAGTCATCATTCTCTCGTGATTTATAAACATAGATGTTATAACTCTCTAAAAATAAGACTGAAAAAATTTCACCATTTTTAAAGCATCTACAACAGCAAAATCTGAGTTAGAATGCGAATTTCCCCCAAAAATGGAAGAGGATTTGACCCACGTTCGGCGCAAGCGACTTACAACTGAGATGGGGCTAGTTTGTCTCGAAGACTACCCTTACACCGTATCAATAAGGTTAGTTATAAAAACATTATCTAATAAAAAAAAATCAGTAGCGTTACAACCCTTTTAGTTCAGGGCCTCAGATTTCTGTATGTGTTTCATGCTTAGGTTATGCCTTAGACACAAAAAGTCGACGGCGTGTGTCAGGCTCAGGAGGCTGATCACCTTGCCTATTCGATTGACAGAAATTTGATTATTTTTTTTATTTAAAAAAAATATTACTTGTAGTTCAATTAACCTGTTAAAGAGAATATCACATACATTATCTGTATTTATGTTGACGTAACAGCTCTTGTTCAGTTTGTAAACCATGTATATTTGTGTACATTAGGTTTACTTTGACGGTATATATTTATTTAAGTTATTTTTGATAATGATATATTTTTAACTAAATCTCATTTAAATAAACTACTTATCAATGACACGATAGGTTTATTACAGAGTACATTTTTAACAAAAATAGGCTGAAAAAACCTATTAATTAATATTAACTCCTATACCTATAAATAAAAAAGGTATATTAGCCTTAAGAGCCAGCCCATTATCATTGGGAGTGCATCGTATATAATGAAAATAAATTTGTCAACTTTACCCCAGATTACTATAGATAGTACTGTCGTTCCATTTTGCTCCACTGGTACCTGAGCATTACTTTGGATACTGTCTTGGCAGGCCCAAATTAACGGACTGTGCCGGAGGATATTTTCTTCTTCTCACGCACTTAATAGGTTTCGCAATTTTTTGCATATCTCTACTAAAATTTCTCTTGCTCATTTTCTTTTACTTTCTATTCTTGATTACGCAGATGTGTGTTATCAAGATTTAACTGAGTTCAGACTGCAGTTGTATTTGGACTTCGTAAATTTGACATATTTCGGAGTTCCGAAGAAAGCTTAATAGGAAACCCATTCGATTGCGGCGTAAGATGCACATTTTACAACTGCTGTATAATGTTCTTTTTAATCCTAAAAACCCTAGTTACTTAAAGCTAAATTTTATGTTCCTCTCTGGCGGTAGTTTTGATTTGCGTTCCTTAGACAATCTAATTCTTAAAACTCCTACTCGTAAAACTAAATTCTATCACTCCTTCTTTACTGTGCAAAGTATCCTGCTATGAATTCCTTACCAATTGATATCAGACGAGCTCAATCTTTAAATTTATTTAATGTAATGTAAAGTAATAGCTACTACTTATATATTAATTGTGACTCAATTTACCTTTGGATTGGCTTTTACATTTTTGTTCATACATAATAATATTATTTATATTTTTTCTTTAGATTTTACTTTATTTAGTTATAGTTACATGTTATTTTTAGTTTTTTTCTTTCTTAATTTATTATGCACTTCTTGTACTTTACCCTCTGTAGGTGTTTCTTTTTTTATTGTTCCACATTAGGGTTGCCTGGAAGAAATCGCTTGATAAGGCCGCTCGTTGCCTAATAACTTATGTAACCTAGTTTTTTGTTTTTTTAATATGTATGATTTTGTATATTATTATGGTAACAAAGTGTAAATAAATAAATTAGTAACTTTTGACCAAAGCAGTGATGAAAGGAGATAGAATTAAGCCTGAATAATATTTCATCGATTTGAAATTATGTGTAGACATTTTATCTTTAAGTATAAAAACGCCAAGGCATTTTCACCCACTAAATAAATTAATCCAAAATTATGTTACTTGACACCTACATACCTACCTGACACGTAGAATAATAAAAGTGCTGTAGTTAATCTTAAAACTGAGAAATCGTGAAATCTTATGTAAGTCCAACAATTTTGGATAACAAGTGAATTCGAATTATCTCATAAGTATAATATTATTATGACATTTACAAAATTCGGTCCGCGTTATACAGACAACTACTTTGGAAATGGTAATTTGTATTTTTTTGAACTATATTAAGCAATATTAGCATTTTATTTACACAAGATAAAAACACGTCAGCGTGAAATAACTTCAAATTTGTTACATTTATCTTTTTTAATTCATTAAATTTGAAGTTATATAACAAATTAATGTCTAACAATTGTAATATTTAGCTTTTAGCGCCATCTGTCAATAGCTACAATAACAGTTAACAGTGAGTATGGTATCAAGCGGCTTAATTTAAACTCTTTTAAATTGTATACCTGTACGGTATACTCGAAGTATTGACCACTCTAAATTAGTTCGGTGAAAAGTATTTTGTTCTATGTGAATTGAGAATTCAACATTATCAGGACCTGTAGCATGATAGTCTGGCGCACGTCAAAATTTTCAAGAAAAAAGGAAACCGACTTATTTTGTTGCCTGGAACAACCAAGTCATGCAACAGAGATTAACTAATAACTGCCAAATCTATCTTATCTTATCACTCAGTATCTATCAGCGGCCAGACATGTTGAACGTAACCTTTCGGCTTGTTATAATATTATTAATAATTTCAATCGCTTCATCACTGTACTACATCTACCAAACACGACTTTACGACATAAGAGCAAATCGCAAAAATAGTATTTCTTATTTAAATCATACGGAGTTAAAGTATATCTTACAATGGACAAGAAGGTTCAGCGCGCCATTCGACTACCTCGAAGAAGGGAACAGTGTTTTTATAAAACACAACTGCAAGTACACCAACTGCTTCGTAACAGACGACAGAAACTATTTCCTAGACTTGAAAGACTTTCAAGCGATTGCTTTTAATGGAAGAGATTTAGACATGTGGAGTTTCCAATTACCACAAGAGCGAACGCCGGAACAGAAGTATGTCTTCGGAGCAATGGAGTCACCTGATTTCTTTCCAGCATGCAATGAATATTTAGATGGCTTCTTCAATTGGACGTGGTCGTATAAACTCGATTCTGACTTTCAATGGGGGTACATAACTATTTATGATTTGGAAGACAATCTAATTGGACCAGCAATTGATATGAAATGGATTGAGAATATGAAACCAGTAGATAATGCCTTAAAAACTAAACTAGATAGTAAGAGTAAAGCAGTAGCATGGTTTGTATCACATTGTCACACAAAGCGTGGCAGAGAAGACTTTGTAGAAGATTTGGGAAAGGAGTTAGACAAATTTGGATGGAGTATTGATGTGTATGGTAAATGTGGGACTCTGTCATGCCCCTTTAAGAGAGGGAAGTCTTGTTACAAGATGTTAGAAAATGATTATTACTTTTATTTATCATTTGAGAATTCATTTGCTGAAGATTATGTGACTGAGAAACTATTGACTGCTCTCAATAATTATGCTGTGCCAGTTGTTTATGGCGATGCTGATTATTCAAGGTGAGTTAAAATAAATAATATGGTATAGTAATTGTTGTTTTGTTTATGGTTTTATATAAAATATAAACAACATTAAGTGGTCACATTGTTTATATATAATATTAGGTATTGTAAGGTAATATATTTTACTGTATGGTTTTTAAAAAAAGAGATCAGAATATTTAATTATACTTCTATTTATTAAGCATATATCTTTGGTATTGCCTTCTTCAAAAATATAAGATCCATATATTAAAAATAAACAGACCAATTAAGTATTGAATCAAACTCTTTGATTGTCCTTGTAATTAAAAATTATTAACTACTATTTAAGCTATAATATTATCAAATAATATTACACATAAATGTTTAGTATAAGTGCCTATTATAGTAAAGTTAAAAAATGAATTTCCATAAATGTTTAAGAAGATAGAAGTTAATATTAGTTAAGTATATTTATTATACTCATATACATAATATATTATGCAGTATGTTTAATTTTATACATTGTTATCTGTATTTCAGATTTCTACCCGAGGGCAGTTATCTCAATGCAATAGAACTTGGTCCAAGAAGACTTGCAGAATTAATGGATGAAATTATTTTAAACAAAACTTTATACTACAATTTTTTTAAATGGCGAAATCATTACAAATACAAAAGTGCAGACCATGTGAATGCATGTAGATTGTGTGAACAGTTGAACAACGATAAAAAAATGAAAAATAGAACTGTATGGAGTGTTTTTAGGGAGTGGTGGAACGGTAAACGATATATAGAAAACTGTTTTTAACGGTTTACTAAAACTTTTGAAACTAACAAAGTCCCACCGATCTACGTTATATTATTTAAAACCCTTAACAATTACGTTTTTATACATTTATGATCAACATCCCGTATCCCGAGTTGGATCGCGGGTCGCGTGCCGTATTTAATTGTTGTTATAACAATGGTGCTAGAACTAACACAGCGACTGTGTCGAAGTCAAGATAATTATTATAAATTACGGTCTAAAGAAAGTACCTACAAGGTTTGGTGGTATCAACATCGCAATTCGCATCGTAATCACATCTTTAGTCCACGTTTTCAATAAATTCTAAACGTTATTAATATAACGTGGAAAGTAATACGATGATACCGCATGTGTTTAATAAAAAATCGTAACAAGTGTTACCGTCCACAAAAGAGCGTTTTATTTTGGACTATTTCCTATAACTATGAGGCGTGTGATCATTCATCCTCCTATAACATGATATTAACACTCCATTGGGGGATTCCCAATGTATGTAGAGTGAACCCACCTAAGTACGCTTAAGTATAATATTCTAAGCTATCGTGTGCAATTATAAGTGTCCTTTATAATAGCACACGAACACACTAGTCAAAAGACCAAACTATGTTTAAATATGCCTTATATCACGGCTTTACAACTATGAATTGTCTTCAGATTACATGGAAAGCATTGGTGCGGAGGAGCGATTGTCGGTAATCAATGGGTATTAACGGCAGCACAGTGCTTTGATTAGTAAGTTTTTTCTTACCTACATTATTTTGTACTTTCCTCATTATCCCTTATTACAATATTTACACTAAATATTAAAATGCTAAAAATTTATAATTTTTAAGTGATTATTTCCTAGAATGCATTATTAGAGTGAAGTATTTTTAGTGTGTCTAAAGAGGAGGTGACTGTACGTATGGGTTCAGTATTTCGTGACTTCGGCGGGAAAATTCTTTCCGTTATTGACATTAGACGACACCCTGAATACAGGACGGATCAATATTATCCTGAACACAATTTAGCTATGATTAAGGTAGATATGATTCTTCATATATTTAAAAAGTACGCTTTTCATCCTCAAATATATATTTGTACCATATGGTACGCGATAATAAATTGCGCCAACGTAAAAGTAACGAGCAAGCAAGTCTCAAATGTCGTGTTTTCATTATATTCAACCTTTTCAGTTAATAACAAACGCAAAATTATTATTTAATAAGGAACAAGATTGTAAATAACTGTTGACTTTCAATTGTTGGAGAGGCATCACAAGAGAGAGAATAATATATATATATATATATATCGAACAATTCAATACAAATAAAGAGCTGCTACATAGGTTTTCGAACATCCGTATTACAATTGTAAATAAATAATATCTACGATTGATAGTTGAGTAGTTTAACTATAATATATTTCCTTAGCTTAACATACCTGTCACCGTCGGTAGCCGAGTTCAGATTGTGTCAGTTGCCACTCCTGGAGCTGAACTTCCCTCTGTCTTCGGAGAAACCATAATCACTGGATATGGAAGCGTGGTAAGAATCTTATAGTTCGTATAAAAAATAGATGTTTTTTTAAGGAGCAAACGGGCAGGAGGCTCATCTGATGTTAAGTGATACCGTCGCCCATAGACACTCAAATTGCCAGAATGCTCGCAAGTGCGTTCCCGACCTTTTAAGAATTAATTTTAATTTAATAAATTTAATCTTATCATCTCTATGCCTATATAAAGATTTACTATGTATTCTAGATAGAACAAGGCAGAGAACGATTTGCCTCTCATATTATAAAATTGCGTAAAAATTATCGAGAAACTTTATCTTTATTAGTTATTAGGGAAATAACGTATTAGTTCTTCAGGTAACAGGTCAAATCCGAGAAGGGCAGAATCAAGAACTTCGTCGTATGATAGTAAAAGAGATGCCGCGACCAGATTGCAGGTAACCCCGGACCGATAATAAGAAAATCAGCCTGAAATGTCATTTTTTTTAACTCAGAAGCCAAGAATGACCTTTCCTTCCACTTAGCTATGATCCTTAGTAATGCTGGATCTCCAGTTCCTCTGTCAGCTATTCTATGTTTGCCTATATTTTATGTTTGAATGGCGTCATATTTATTTAAAAAATGGCGCCTGCTAAAAGTTGATATGAGTTTGGTTAAGGCAGTATGATGGTAAATCAAGACAATTCCTGTGAAATTACTAAACTCTTTGAAATAATAATCAATGTTATTTATATTTTACAATGCATGATACGGTCCTGTTTCTTTCAAAAACAAAATATTCTAGAGCCTTTTATATGTCAATAAATTAAACAACTTTTCTGAGAGCGTTAAGTTTGTGAACTTATTTATTATGATTCTTTTTTTTCTAATATTTTCGTTTATTTTGGTTATATTCTGAGCTAATAATATTTGTTGTTATTAACACCCAATAATGTTAGCAATAAATACACAACTGTAAATCTTTACAATATTATAATTCAGGCGTAGTTACGGAAACGAATATCGCCTACAGCATGACCACATGTGTCTCCAAAGCGTGATGAGAGGTGTCGCGTTGTGTGCGGTGAGTGTTATGGTACAACTATTATCAGCTTAATTAACATTGTTGACTTCAGCGTGCGACTCTCATCCCCGAGGTCGTAGGTTCGATTCCAGGCGGTGCACAAATAGACTTTCTTTCTATGTGCGCATTTTACATTCGCCCGAACGGTGAACGAAAACATCGTGAGGAAACCGACTTCCATTAGACCCAAAAAGTCGACATGAGTCAGTCAGGAGGCTGATCACCTACTTGCCTATTAGATTGACAAATGATTATGAAACTGTTACATAAATCTGAGGCCCAGACCTAAAAAGGTTGCGTGTAGCGCCATCAGTTTATTTATTTTATTATCAGCTTAAACATCTCATCACCGTCATATCTAAGGTATTAGTTGCACCTTGAAATTACACATTTATAATTAGCCAAATCATTTTCTACCAAATATCACTTTCATATGTAGTCATTTAACATGTATTTTAAATGGCCTGACATAAATAAATAGTATTATAATTAAATGGCCATCAAACCACGCGTAACCCTTCCAGCGCTACAGGTGTCCTAAAGCAGCGGTTAACACTTCATCCTATGTGACCCGCAATTCGCAAATAGCTTTGACACCTAATTAATAAAAAAAATAAACGCAAATGTGTAAGAGTTTAGTAATATTGTTCTTTATTGAAGCCAGTATTACTTTAAACGAAAACGCCATACATGCCCATGATAAATTTAGCATAACTTAATAATTTTCTTGAGAAAATATAATTCTTTGTGTAGGGTGATACGGGGGACCCAGCAGTCCATTTCAGTGGCGTGAACCGAGCGGGGACGTTGTATGGCATTGCTCTCTTCTCTGGCACAGAAGAATGTGCCCATAAACAGAAACCTGGTGTTTATGCTAAGGTAATTATAAAACAAATATAATAATAGTTAAAATACTATTCGAATAAATAAATGCGAATTGATCGTAACGTGCCTTCGCTATGATTAAATATATAAATTGTTTTATTGCCCTGTGTTATTACTCAAACAATTATTATAAATGATGTGGAAATAAATATAATACTTACCTGGTAGTTTATAACAATTAACAGCCATTATTAAGCGCACATCTAAGTGAAACTTCTTTAGTCGCATGAGAGTAAAATGTTTACGGATGAAACGCAATAATAATAATATTAGCGTCACGAAGATGTGCAGCGTTTTTGTCGAAGAAAAGAGAGAGAGCGATTGAGAGAGTGAGAAGGGCGAATTAAATTACTTTATTTTTAAAATTAAAATTTCGTAAAGAGAATTTATGAAATATTAGTATTTTATATTTTATGCAAAATAATTTATTGTAATCTCAAATGACGAATTGTAAATTAAAATGCCACGTGTTTTATATGATCGAAGAAATAAATTAAAAAAATTAAATTTATAATTTTTTATTAATTTTCGACACTTTTAATATTTTAATGACGATTAAATTCCTAACATAATATCTTCCTTAAGTCTCGGAAATCTAAAGTTTTATTTTTGTATAAATATGAACAAGACTTAAAAATTAGTTTGCCAAAGAAGTTTCACTTCTGACATGTACGTACTTTGTACGCACATTTTTTTTTAATGTTAAGAAAATTCTTAAAGAAATAATAAATTTTTATTTATTATTATTACTAGGAAAGTCCCTTCTAACTCGATAGTAATTAAGTACTTCTGACTTAACCATTGTATAAAGTGTCCATTAGACCAATATCCGGCAGAGGAAGTTTTATTATTAACTATTTACTTTGATAATTTGACGGCTATACCTAGAAAGAAGTATCACTTCTGACATGTGTAGGTACTTTGAACGCACGCACTTTTTTGTTCTAGGTCTCTTATAGCAAAGGATGGATTAGCAACGTATTGAACAACCAGGATGTTAACGAAAGCGTGGACAGTGGAGATAATGCAATACCATTAGATATATAATTACTTTTAATAAAATATGCGAAATGATTGCAGTTGTATAATTTAATAAACGATCCAAAGTAAATCTGAAATTATGAGAAAGTATTTGTTATCAAACTATATAATTTCGTAAAATGGCAAGCTGGCATGGTTGGTGGCGTTTCCTGGCAAATTTACAATTCAAAGCCATTATTAGGATTCCACGCAATGGAAGTTATATCAAGCCTGGCAACATCGAAATACAATTTAACACTATTTTTTATAGTATTTTGATCATACAGCATAATGTAGCAGACTAACAGTTCTTTAGTTACTTGTTGTTTGTAGTAGTATAATCATTAATCACCTCGAGCTTTTCCTATTTTTTATTTTCTCTCATAGTTTTTCAAGTGCCAAACTTCCAAATATCTGTCATGTGTACAAATACTTGTTGTCACTATATGATAGTCGACCAAAGTGACAATTGCTGATCAGCTGTACTAAGTTGTCAACAAGTTAAAGTTCCTCAAATTCTAAATTAGGTTATGTTTACTTTGGATAAAATTTTACTAAATTTTTCTAAAATTATTTAGCCATGATTCTCAACTCGTCCGAAAAAACAAAACGATTTTAAAGTTAGAGTGCAATTTTTGTAATCAAAGTGGCGTGCAGCAACTATGCAGGCAATCACGATCTATTTTGAGAATAATATATTTCAAATGGATTGCGGCCAAAGGTTAAATTCTGAATGAATTTGGTATGACTTATTAGTCTATTTGGTAAAGGGTGACCCTCAGTAGTGATAAGTATTTGATATGGATGGATTTAAGCACAGAGCTGGAGAAAAAATTGATGCTCTTCACGTAAGTATCATTCTTACCTATATAGTTGTATGTAAACAACCTTTTTGGCGGGGAAAGTCTTTAAGATTTTCACATTTTTAAATGTCGTCAGAATCGATCGAACGACAAACGAGCTATTAAGTAAAAACATTGGGTTAATTTTTATCATTATTTATTACCATAATTTGACCCTGAAACTTACGTAACTCCATTCGCGCCAAATGTACCTCAATTATTCATCAATGAAATAATGTGTGATGTTTTATTTTCATAATATCTACTTTTAAGTATGTTTCAACCTTATTTTAGATAGTGTTATAAAATAAGTTAAATAACATGCTAACATATTATTTTTAAATGGGTTGGTTATTGATTACCTAAAATAATATTATGATATACTTAATATTTTTACTAATAATTTTTTGTCAATTTTCAGGATGCTGCAGTAGTTGCCGCTTCAAACAGTAAAGTTCGTTTGGAAAGTGTTTATCAGCAAACAACAGATGCTATACTGAAGGTATATTTGATTTCTTCAACAATCAAGTTATCACCTCACCTGGCACTCCATATCACTTTTTTTCCATATAAAGTTTTCTGGTCTGCATCACAACTTTTAGAAAAAGCAAGTACTTCACAATTATTTTGGCACATGCTTAGTACATAAAGGCAAAGCACTTGTAAGAATCCTAGAATTTCATGTGTAAAATATTATAAGAAGAAAAGATAGATATTTTTGTATATTTGAAATTAAAGGAACCCTTTTGAAAAATCAATTTACTTGACAAATTATTTTACCTTTAGTACGCTATCTTATCCCTGAGTAGCATAGGCTATACAAATGTACAATAGTGCCAAGCCGGTACAGACCACTAAGGTTTTTATAATATACTCACGGAATCACTCAGTCCATAAGAGTAAAATAAATTTCAGATCCGTGAACTCTTTAATGAGATCTGGCATCATGAGTTAGTAACAGAGGGTCGGGCAAGGGCTGTGGACTGGGGTCGTGAAGCAGCCAAGCGCATACGAGAAGGGGCTCTACCCTTATCACCCGCCGTGCTGTATCAGGAGCTGGTTACTTTATTAAAAGATAGAGGTAGAAAGATTGTTTTTGAATTTACTATATATATATATATATATATAATATAATATAACTGTTTAGTGTTGTTGTGCTTTATTAACCTTTTTTAAATTAAAATATTATTACAATATAATTAATAATCAATTTTAGTTTGGTCTCTGTCACATTCAATGAACTTCAATTAATTATTCAACAGTGAGCTAACTCTTGAAAAACAAACCAGTATATAAACCAGGACTACTTAACTTTAAAACTCATAATATTCCAGTATGGCGTCGCAGCATGATAATATTTGCATGTGGAGCAGTGCTCGGTGGCAGTACGGGGCTGGTGATAGGGCTTCGCACTGCGACCCGAAGCCCTAGTGGGCCCCACGCGAGGGCCCTACAGACACAAGCAGACCAGAGTGTTATACTTGTCGAGGATGCTGTTTCCCATGGTATATTTTTTACTTAAAATTAAAGTCGAAAAGCTTAGAATGTGCAAAATTTTAACTTTATTCAATTAAGGGTTTATTTATGATCTCATTTCAGAGTCATGACATATTACATAGTTCAAAAATGCATTTATATATTTTATTCTTTGTTGTATATAATTATGTTTAATTAACTTATCAATAAACGAAACATAAAACCGCAATGAAGATACAACATGTTATCATAATAATAATTCTTATTAACTACGAACTAGAACCATTAACGATAAATTAGGCAATGATTAAATTCGTTATCTGAGTTTTAGAAAAATAAAATAAGACTGAAAATGTAACCGGAAGGTGGTGACTGACATTGAATTTTCGCTTTTCTTTCGATGTGAGCACGTCACGAGTCGAATATTCGGCGAGTCAGTACTCAGTACAGCGCCCGAGCGCTCTCCACGCGGCCGTCGGTTTTTTGGCGAATCCCTTTGAATGTTACATTACAAGTCAGTCGATGTCTGCGTTGTGCGTTAAAGCGCGGTAAAATGCAGTGGAGTCGAGTGAAAACTCTTTTATTTATGGATAAATACCGCAATCTACCCCAACTGTGGGATCCTACACATCCAGATCATTAAAATAAACTTAATCGCGAATATTCTGGTGTTGTGAGCATTCTGACAACGAACAAATATTCAATGGCAGTCGCCACCTTTAGGTATTATCACTATTACATCTATCTAAAGAAGATATCAAACTGTCAGGAATGCAAGACGGGTCAACAATACCAAAGAGTTTCTATTTCGACGCACAATTTGTAGTCTATGGCCTATTTTAGACAACAGTTTTAGAATCGTAAATGGTTAATCAAATACCCAATCATAATTTCTTTAGGTGCGGGTCCGGGCGAAGTCCTAGTCAGAGTGCAGGCCTTTTCGGTGTCAACGATAGACCGCAGCGTACTGAGGGGTAGGGCTTCGGCCCTACGGTCTCTCGTTACTCGCTCGCAGGTCACTGTCGGGAGAGGCTTCGCTGGTAAATATTTTAACTAAAACAATTGGAATCAGTAATACTTAATGTGAAAAAGAGTGGCGGAGAGTTTATTGCCAGTTCTTCTTTTCCGTTCTACGCCCTTGATTTTAAAACTGGCAGTAAATGTAAAATTAGATTACATGTACATGTATAGTCGTTTTCACGAAAGAAATCCCCCAGACGCAGCGCTGTAATCGCATGACGTAATGTTGCCATTTATAAGTAAAAAATTTACCTATTTTACATTTAGCATATTTAATTAATCAAATAATACTATTTTCTGCAAACTTCTATGAAAAAATATTTCTGTTATGTAAAAAGTATATTTTTATTTACTTATATAAGCGGTGTTCTACCTACTTACAGGGATAAGATGAGAAAATAGGGTAAAGAAAAGCAATACAATTTTTTATTCAGAGTTTTATTGAATAATTTTAGATCAGCGGCCATAGGAACATCACTGTCTGAAGAGTGGATGGAAACAGAATCAGATTCTGTTTCAGTATCACTAGCCGTAGATATTGGAGTTTACTCCTTAAGAAACGATTTGAGTTATAAGGCCCGGTACGTAAATTTTATGAGGAGTAAAATCAAGTGTAACACGAAAAGTTGAGGCGTTATGTAGAAACACGAAAAGTTGAGGCGTTATGTAGAAAGAGACAAACATATAGAGTTTACTCCTTAAGAAACGATTTGAGTTATAAGGCCCGGTACGGAAATTTTATGAGGAGTAAAATCAAGTGTAACACGAAAAGTTGAGGCGTTATGTAGAAAGAGACAAACATATATATCTGTAGGATTGAACGTGTAAAAGAATGAGATGGAATACATTACACAGACTTTTCTATTTTGAATTCACGTTTTGACAGCCACGTTACAACATTGTCAGTGTTGACAGGTGTAAAAAATAAAAGTAGATTGTCTAGCGTGCCATAGAGTTTTGTCAATAGTAATGGTCAGTGAAATTAAAACTAAAAAGATTGTTCATTCTTATTCTTCTCTTACTATAAAGGTAACTTTGGTCACAGAAAGAAAATCCTATTTGGGCATAGATGATGTAGGTACGTTTTATTACTACTAAAAACATTTATATTATAAAAACATATATTCTTTAGTATGAAAATATGGTCGATAGCCACAGAACATTATCGCCATTTTATCGTTCGTAAGGAGTAAACTCCAATCGTGCGTCGTAGCTGACACACACACACTTTTTTTATATTGATACTCTTCCCCGGGGTGACAATTTATTTCAAAGTACTCGCCGCTATTATACCTTCATTTGTAATTCTTGTTACAGCAATTGTTACCTGCAATTAAATAATGAACAATTAAAAATAATAGTAACTTTAAGTTTATAATGCTTATGTAACTATGTAATATATGTTTTAATTTCAGTAACCTAGTTTCATTCGTTATGTATTTGTTCAATTTTGTCGCGGAAATGAATTTATATCATAAAAGTAGTCCCATCAGCAACTCTAAAAAGTACCTGTTATGGCGGCGAACATTGTTTAGTGGTATTAAAACACCTTGATTCTTTTGTTCCGCTTTCACAGAACTCTTTCAATTTCAATATCATTTCTCGAGCCGAATTTTTTACAACTTTTGGCATTGTAAACAATCTTTAAAATGCACTAAGTTAGTTAAAAACTCACAAAATCTACCACAACAAACGAACTTGATAACATCGACGAACGACAACATGGCCGATCTGTCAAATTTAGTTCCAAAAATCTCCGCGGGACTTCTTTCATGAAAAGGACTATACGTTGTGTTACCTACATGAATAAATGATTTTTGACTTTGACTTATTAATTTTTGGTAAAAACATTATCTTTATTTCCTATAGATTACGTCAGGGGAATCCCTAACTATTGAAAAATGTATTTCTGACATTAATAGTGACATATTATATGAAGCGATGTAAATTTCATTTTAATTTATTATGAATTTAAGCGCATCTCGCTTTTTTGGAGGCTCATCTGATGTTAACTGATACCACCGCCACAAGTGCGTTGTCGGCATTTTAGAAATTGAGATGCTCCTATCTTGACTACTTAGGGTCCGAGTCGAATTGGTTTGGAAATGCGTCAGTGGGTAGCCGGTACCGCATAGTGGTGGTGCGCGGTAAAAACTGCCTTGCAGAGACTCCAGCTTTCTTTATAACTACGTAAACCCATTGAAATAAAACAGTCTTCAATATACAATATCTCGAGAGTAAATGTTTTCTTAATTTTATTTCAGGCGTAGTTCTAGACGTCGGCCAAGGCGTAACAGAATTCGAAATGGGTGACGAAGTTTGGGGATGTCTTAGCGAATGGAGTGGAGGGGCTGCTACCGAACTACTGGCTGTGAGAAGGTATGTTTTATTAGTTTTGGGTAGTAAAACGACTCTCTCGCGACTCTCATCCCTGAAGGTCGCGGGTTCGAGCCCCTGCTGTGCACCAATGGACTTTCTTTCTATGTGCGCATTTCACCTTCGCTCGAACGGTGAAGGAAAACATTGTGAAGGATACCCAAAAAGGCTACTTGCCTATTAGATTGACAAATGATGAAGAGGCCCAGACCCAACAAGGTTGTAGCGCCACTGGTATTCAAGCTCTTCACTAAAACGTGTTATTGCTAAACTGAGTGTGACAAACAATTATTCTACGCGTATTTTTAAAATTCCAGTTCGCGTATAAGCAAGCGTCCGCGTACGTTGGGCGCGGACTCGGCGGCGTCCCTCCCTTGGGCGGGGTCCCTCGCTCTCATCGCTCTGGACGCCTTGCGAATCACTCCCGACTCTTGCAAGGGCAAGCGGTAAGTGATTCCATAATAAAATTCTTGTTTGTCTTATCGGGATGCGGTCTCGGTGATAATTCACTTTAACCAAAAAAATATAGTTTAATAGGTTTTATATTAAACTATTTTTTTAATATATATAACAGGGGGCAATCGGGCAGAAGGCTCGTCTGATGTCAAGTGATACCTCCGCCCATCGGCACACTGAATGCAGAAGGCTCGCGAGGGCGTTGCCGACATAAACTTGTATCGTCCCCAACCTTCGGAATCCATCTGAGACAGAGCGTATTCGAAAGTCGAGACGGGTCCTCTGCTCCTATTTCTCGTGTCTCGGGAGGCTTTTGTGAGGACTCGCTCCGAAATAGGTTACAATTTCGTGACCGTCTTCGATTCGGATTTTAGGTAGAAGATGTATATGGTTAGTGCCGACTACGTGTGATTGAAGTTACTATATTGAGATAATCATTTCTTGTAATATTTCCAAAATTACATCAAAATTTTGATCCATATTCTAAATTGTATTACAACTCAAAATCCCATCTTGAGAGCGCTGTCAAATTTGAGAGATTGTTTGACAGCTTTCGAAAGCTCCAAGTTCAAGTCTCTATAGTTTAATGAACAGTCCAGTCCGTATATATTATGAGTGAAACATAATGCGATCGTTCCTGTCGTGTGGCCACGGAGCCTCTCGAAGACTCCCTAACTGGGTTTTGGGCAGTTTTATTTACTTATCTCTTTAATTATTTCGTAAACAAAAATTATATATAATAAAAAACAATTATACTAAAGATGGAATACATAATATATTTTTAATTTGCGAAGTGGTAGTAAATGTATATTTAGAATTAATTTAACTTCTTTTCTGACGTTCATAAGTGTACTTACCTATATGAATAAAGATATTTTGAGTTTACAAAAAGGTTCAAACAATAAAAATTATATACTAAGGAAAACCTAATTCATTAAGATTCCGCGATAGCCTTAACAAGTCAAGGTTAAATAGCGGTCGCTGTATGTCTGGGCTGCGCGATACAAAACTGAGTTTGCAGTTTTTTTTGTCATCTGTCTTCTTTGTGCTATAGAAATGTGTTCACAGCGTGCTCGTAGCGGGTGCGGCGAGCGGCGAAGGCTGTGCCCTGATCCAGCTGCTGGGGTGCTGGGGAGCTCGGACCTCTGCCGCTGCACCCAGGCATTCCAGGGACACTCTGAGGAACTTAGGTGATGCTTCATTTTAGTGCTCCCGTGCTTAAGTATTCAATACTAGTACCTTTTTGACCTGTGTTGGAATGAAGTTGGGAACATATTCAGATGATTTAATTAGGTATTTTAATTTGTCGTTAACTTAGGGAACAATCAAACTTTCATCAGAATTAGTTTAGTTGTTTTTACTAATATACTCATTTCTGAAGTATAAAATAGGTAAATAATATTGAAAGGTATTCGAGTGAATATTTGTGATTTAGTTAAAATAATTTTTATTTACTTTTATTTTATCATATAAAAGTATATTTATCCAACTACAATATCACGGTCGTGCTTTAAAAATATATATCCAGGTGCCCAAGACTTCATGGAGCTGGAAGGCCAGAACGAGCACTTGGCCGCCTCTTGGCTGGTGGTGGAACAGCACGCGAGTCGCACCGGGCCGTGGGACGCTTGCATCGCTTGCGCCGGGGCGCCGCCCAACCGCCCGCCCTACAACACTTTGCTCAAGTGAGTACTATGCCGTATATATGTCGCAGTAAAGTAGTTAAATCAGAGAGTTAATTGAATCTCTAGACAGTTAATTAAAGATTGATATTCAAAATAATAAAAAAATATATATTGAACTTAATTGATTGATGAGCTCTGAAAATAGAACAAAGTGTATGTTGTTCAAGTAGATGTATTTATTATATAATAATTTAAAAAAAATACTTAAAAATAAATTTTTATTCTTTTTAAGTATTGAACTTGAAGAACCGGTTTACTTCGACGATATTCTAAAATATTTATACATTTTTCTAATGTTTATAATGTAAATTTTATTTATTTCTGCAAAGTAGTTTCACCACAAAATACACACTTTACGCTAATATTACGCATAGTTAATATTTTTAAACTAATATAGGAATCACGCAGCCGCACGTATTAAATTTATCGACGAATTTTTCTGACTTCGGCTTGTGGAAATCGTCAAATATTTTCGTCATCCTTGAATTATTTCCTTCAAAATAAAAAAAATCAGCCTCGCTCGAGAATGTCGAGATGACGTTTTTTTTACAGCTTTGCAGCCCTCCCTTTTCTTTACGTTACTTGCAAATTGTCAGATTAGTGAAATATACACGTCTTAGCATGCAATTAACTCACCCTACCTTAATTTGACGCGCTCGAGAAAGTCTGATGACTTTTTTTTACTAATCTAATCCTTTATCCTTGACGGGCGGTCATATATATGAAGCTCATATTTGGTGGAGGTACTTCACTGGGTATCCAAATTATTTCTGTGAGGCATTTTTAATGAGATCACAAGCAATATTGGCGCTAGAGAGAAGAGGCCTAATGTACACTGCCAAACTGCCATTCTTCTTTCGCAATGGCAAGCAATAAAGCATTTCTGTATTTGCGGGACTTTTTGGCGGGAAGTCAAACTAAGCGGGTGCTTTAAATTATTGCGATTTTTCAATAATTCTTTTTTATTGTATATAGTTGTATTTTTTTTCTGTAAATAGAAAATTTGTTACATTTTGTAAATAGTAGATAATAGTAATAATGGGTGAAAACAGCGCCGGGGGGACAAAGACGCCAAGAAAAGAAAATTAGAGTTGACTAATATTATAAAGTGTTCACCAAACCGAATTATAAAATACAATTTCCAGACAATCATAGCACGGACTGTGTGGTTTATGTGGAATCACAAGAAAATGAGAAGTTAGGGAACAAAAATCCCATCACATTAACGAAACTATTTACGGACAATGATAAAGGAATAGAGGGAGATCATCGAGTGAATGCTCACAGAATAGGCATCACTTTCAAAAAACCAGCACCACTAGGGCCACACAAGCTTAAAGCTTCTGTTCCAGCTCACTTGACCGAAACAATGGGCGTCATACGATATGTGCCCAAGGAGCTAACGTGCGGACATATACAAGAACATCATGTGCGACACGCCACAGCAAATTCTCTTATTACTCTGGGTAATGATAAAAACAACACACCCATTACAAATAAAAAGATCAAAGAAATACTTTTAGCTAATTTATTAAATTAAATAATGGATACATTTTTAAACATAGCACAGTTTAATATACAAAGCTTAGGTACAGAGTAACAAAGCCTCATTGAATAATTTTTTATCGGAACATAATATTGATATCTGTTTATTTAATGAAATTTTGCTTACAAATTCCATTAATACCCATAATGGTGTGGGTATACTAATCAAACAAAATTTACAGTATGATATTATAGTTAACACTTCTTTTTATGAATCCGTTCAAAATATCTGTCACAATAATGATGTTAACAGGTTTAATATTCACACAATGAAAAAGGTTTTATTGAAGTACCTAAGCCATGTATATATATAGTTTTTGGATGTCAATCAAATAATAGTAGAGGCAATAGTTTGTACAATCTCATTGATGGACTAGACTTGTGTATTTTGAATAATGGGAGTGCTACAACTGTTCAAATTTCAAACAGAAATGCATCTGCTATTGATGTAACTTTGGTTAACCCAGCAATAGCTCCTCTTTGTGAATGGCGAACTCATGATGATCCGATGGAACTCAGGTTGTTGTCAATGTAAAACCAAAATACATATACAGTAAGGCTGATTGGACTGAATATTATAATTTATCTGAAACATTTTTTTATCAGTTAGACACCGAAAATACAG